TGGCTGAACTCTAACCCTCCTTTCACATCAATAACATCTGCAAGCAGGGATGGTGGAATGAGAGAGAGGGTGAGCATGTATTTCTTCCGTCTACTGTTGCAAAGACTGGAGTGTAGAAAAGGATGGTCTGGGTGATTTGGTTTCCTGAGAAAAAGAGCCAGACAGGGAGAAAAGAATTTCAGAAGTGCTGATCTCTTTTTCAGACACTGAAGTAAGTGATCAGGTTGTCAAAGACTTGAGCATGTCCAGTAATTAGTTTTCTTGGAAACCCAACCAGAGCTTACATAATGGGAACTCTGTTGCCTGGTGATCTGTGTTGGACAGCTGGCCCCAAGGATGGTAGTGACTTCTCATAAATCTGGCATTTTATCTTTAAAGGCCTTTAAAGTAGCAGTTAAATACCTCAGTTCAGATAAGCTCAAAAGTAGGTGCTTCAGGCTGTTTATGCTCAGGGTAGCAGGGAAGCATGGTTGGCCTGTAAAGGATATTGAGTTAAACTCACGTGTCATTTCTTGAACTTAATTAGGTCTTCACTGTGCATCACTGCCAACATGTAAAATTGCAAGTGCAGCTGCCTGCAGATTGAAGAGCTCCACGTGACTGTAGCCCTTGTCTCTCCAGTGGGCTGGATCAGACACACTGTCTCCCAGCCTTGTGTTTGTTCTCCTGCCATTGCAGCGATAGGACACCTCCCTCTCCAGTAATAGAATTGCCACATGCCCAGGGCAGGACCATCCTCTGCTGTCTATCCTGAACTAGCCTGAAGTCTACACCTACCCCCACAAAATCCCATCTGCAGCAGAGGCCATAAACATTTGCCTTGGGAAGAGTGAAAAAAGAGTAAGCACACAGTCTTTCCCTCTACTAGTTTTCCAGCATCTAACTTGCAGCTGCGGGCCTTTCTGAGCTGGATTTGGTCTTCATGTATTGAGTTACCTACAATGTTGTCTCTTCCCTTAACTTCTTCCTGAGTCTCATCTTGGATTCATAGAAATTTTTTGCTTCTCTTAATTCCTCTGGCAATGAGTTCCACACATCTTCTACTCCTCTCATTTCTTTTGAACCTGCTTTTTAGGAACTTTTATGTTCTGTCCCCACAGTTTTTTGTTCAAGAACATTCCTTTTATCAGTGTAAGAGCAGATACAGCAGCCAGAGGTCAGAGGTTTCCGCTGCTACACCCCAGGTTTATTTAGCAAGTCTGTAATGCCAAGAATCTTCCAAAGGCCAATAAAATTTTATTATTGTTAATATCACTGTTATTAGCAGTTACACTGAGTCAGATTTTTATGATTGTCCTGAGTCAGATTGTTACAGTACATTCTGTGGGATAGGAAGAAGCAGTGCAGCTGACCTTTGAGTTTCTTATCCTCTGAAACCGCTGATGCCGCAGGCTGAAAAGTACATCAGGTTTTTCAACTATGAACTAGTAGTTCTCAAGGTCAAAATAAATCTGGAATTAAAGGAATGTTGTGACATATTGACTGATATTTCTCTATTACATCTTCTTATGGTTGTATTTTTATATTTTCTGTTTTAGATTTTTTTTTAATTTAGATAATTTTATTCAGCAACTATTTTAATATGTTTTCTGGGAGAAGTGAAGCCTGAAAAAGTGAAAGCTGTGCAATTGTTTGATCTAGAAAATAAAAGTATAAAATATTGGGTAGGAATGTGGATGTTAATGAAGTTTGAAGAAAAAAAAAGATTTGGAGCATTAAGAGTGCCTAACTTCTGGAGAAGATAATCCTGGAGTGTGAGGGCACCCAAGCCTACACATTTGGAGACTATAGTTAGTCTGAAGCTGATCTGTTTCTAAAATGTATGCTTTAATTTGTACACATCATGAGGTGATATTTATGACATACATTACAGGGTCAGATTAGATGTTTAGTCCATTCCTTCCTGATGTAAAATAAAAACAGATTTAGGGATTTTTTTGATTTTTGTTTTGCACCAGCTTTTCCTTCTGCACCCTCCAGTCACTTTACAGAATAAGAAGGGGAAATAATATTTAAAACATACTTACAACATGTTTACTTTGGGTTTTCTCTTTCCCAATCCTGAGGTCAAACCACTAAACCAGGGCTTCCAATCTGGGCCTCCCATCTTCCATGGTGTATTTACAACAGCAAAGATGTACACAAGATTATGCCTTTAAGCTACCACAAACTTCTGACTAAACATGCAGTTTTCTGTCTGTGGAATCGTGATGAGTGATGTTGGTCAACAGAATAAGATGATTTTTTTCTTTCTTGTTTTTAGAAAGAATAAAGAGTCAACAGAGAGAGAAAATTTAGAAGAGAAAGTTGAAGTGACAGTAACATTAGAAAATGGGCTGCCTTGTGAAGTGCTGGATTTAAAAGCAGGCCACATTAATGGTGTCTTTCCAGCAGATGATGAACGGTTCACATCCTTATGAAATGCTGCGATTGCTATCTGGTCGTTTTCTGAGAGACTCCTGTGCCTACCTTATCTCGTCACTACTCCTGAATGTCAAACGTGAAGACAAGAAAAACATCCTTTCACTTAATTTCCCTGGAGAGAACCTTGTGCTGATAATACATACACTTGAACCTCCATTACAAAGCTTTTGTTCATGAACAACGCAAATGAGAAGGTCTCAGATAATATCCAGAAAAGATTTCTAGAAGATGTGTGACAGAACAGGGTTGAAACCTGCCGTGTGTCAGGCATTTAATTTTTAATGATTATTTAAATATGTCCGTTGCTTTTTGTCCCTGATGTAAATGTGAAACTGCATTATTCCTGAATGTCGCTGGGGAGATCATCTATCATTGTCAATTCTTGATGGGTTTTCTTTCAAGCCATATGCAAAAGTTTCTCTGTAAAATTACTTTTGTTTGCTGATATGTAGTGTGCCTTTGGATGGAACAATGATCAGTGCATGAAAGTTTTCATTTATTGAGAAACAAAAAAGTGAGCTTTCACAGTCTCTGTAAGATCAGGTCAAAAAGCATGTGGGATATATGTAGCTTTGAGGCTAAGAAACATCTGGTACTAGAAGTGTTTTTCACTTAACAAAGTCACAGAATATATGACCTGGAAATAAAAGCTTCCAAAACTCTAAAATTTGTAGAAATTAAAAGTTGTGACAAAGAGCAGATTTTCCAAAGGTGCAGTCTGTGTTTAGCAGCCCAGCTCTCATTAAATCACAGAATCAAAGAATGGCCTGTGTTGGAAGGGACCTTAAAGATCCTCTAATTCCAACCCCCCTGCTGCGGACAGGGACACCTCCCACTAGACCAGGTTGCTCAGAGCTCTGTCCAGTCTAGCCTTGAATGCTTTCAGGGGTGGGACAATCACAACTTCTCTGGAAACCTGTTCCAGTACCTCACCACCTTCACAGTAAAGATTTTTTTCCTAATATCTAATCTAAACCTACTCTCAGTTTTTCTCCCTTGTCCTTTCACTATGTGCCCTTGTAGACAGTCTTTCAGAACTCTTTGAAAAAACCTTCCTTACATTTTTTAACAATAAAACTAGAGTAGATTTCCAAGGCATGGCCAACATGGGGTCAGATGAACCCTCATGTGACTGCAGGATAGCTTTTGTAGGGATTCAATATGTGAAACACCAGCTCCTGGGTTTGGTGCACCTGACCCAGATGACAACATGTAGGCAGTGCTAAGTCAGCAGAGACCAGTCAGACCTGTGTTTCCTATCTGGCTGGGAGCAGAGGACATCAAATAGTGCCAGACTCTACACTGCATGGGTGGATTACTTTGAAGTCAGTCGTGCATACAAACAGTGCTATCTGTGCCCTGATCCCATTCCCATTTACATTGGTGAAAACATTCTACCTGTTTTCAGAAGAACTGGGCCTCAGAAAAGGGGAGTTGTGTATGTGGGTAACTGTACACAGAGAATGGAAGTGTGTTGAAGGAAAATACAATATTTGCAGTTACCAAACAGCTACCCACATCACTGAAGGCAGTATTTGATCATTAAGCGTTCTGTTTTCAGTGTCGTGTTTAGGGTCAATATTAGAAAACTCATTTACTTATTCGGATTATTCCATTAGACTCCTCACCAACAGGAATAGGCTTAAATAGAGTAAAAGCTGCTAAAGGACCATCCTAAAGGACATCCTGAAGGGTACTGGTTTGTTTCCCAGCATACAATCCTTCAGCATTTTGTCTGTATTGAGCACCTTTGGCTATCCACTTGACTCAGCACTGGCTCTTGGGAACACTGAGCAGAAGGGGAGGAATGGGAAGGAGAAGCAGTGGAGTAAAGGGAGAAAGTTGAGCAGGGGAAGCTTGAGGCTAGGGGAGGCAGGAAAAAGGAAAGCTAAATGCAAAATAAAACTATGGAACCCACTGATCATTTGCCTCACATGGTTTCATCTGTCACAGTTATCTTTGATGTCCTGCTGGTAAGTCCCTCTGGACAAGGACTGCATCTTCTCTGGATCTGAGAGGTGTGCTGCTCCATTCTGGAAAAGGATTAATAAATTACTTATGAGTGATAATATCTCAGTGCTTCAAAATTACCATTCACAACATATAAGTATTTCTCACAGGAATGTCAAAGATGAAGCTTACCAGTGTTGAAGGGAACATACAGAGTACAGTGTTGCTATTGCTTCCTCAGTCGTTGCTCCAAGGTCTCTCACTCGGGCAGTTTTATTGAGGTAATTCAGATCCCATCATTTCTAAACCTTCACACTTTTCACATCCTTTCTATGACAGATAGCCACATCTCGGTGCAACCACAATGGATCGTTGTAACTGCAGCACCTCTGCAAGAACCTGTGAAAGATTTCAGTGAGAACAGCTTAGCAATGCAAGAGTAACCTCTAGCTATCCGGTAAGATTTACTGTTATCCTGTATTGTACTTTATGATATCGAAATAAAATGCACTTGAGATGAAAAAGGGCCAAGCTTATCTGAGCATACTTCTCAAGGCCTGAACGAAGGTTCTGTTCAGCCTATGGCACTGGCTAGCAACTTGAAAATAGATTGAAAGCCTCTGAACAAAACATTATGCAATGTGGGCTGACTCTGAGGTAAGTTTTTAATCACTGTCTTCCTCCCAGTTCACCTCGTAGCTGCATAATTACTTTACAGCAGTTTGGCGTAATTTTCTGCTAATGATGACATGGGATTCACCCAGAGCATACATCTTGCTTACTCTCTGCTGACAGAAAATGTCTTGAGAGAAGCAAATGATACATGAACGGGCAGATACCACACTTAGCAACACTTTGAAGTCAGTGTTGGTATTAGCTCTTTCACTGAAATAGATACCACGAATGAGGTTAATCAAGGGCATAGTGCTATATGGAAGAAATAAATCTCTAGTCTGTGCAGCAGGATCATATTAGAAAAAAATGAGCACTTTTATTTGGTAAAACCTGTCTCCAGAGCCTGCAAATGGTACGATGACAATGTATATCCCTGGAGGATGTGGCCAAGATATTTTTTATGTACTTTCACCTTTTTTTTCCTCTAAACCACCTGCCATGCAACACCTGATAACAAACAGGAGAGTGAGTAATAAGCAATATAGACTATAAGGGGAATTGCTTCCTAAAAAAATGAGTTGCTTCTGCTTCCAGTTACGTTTGTGCTGTGCCAATGAATTTTGAAAATGGTACATGGTGTGCTCAAGACTGAATTGTTTCGTTTACAAGAGCTGTGTTTGAGAAAAGAGAGGAGAAGGGAAAATTCAATGAAATGAAGCAATAAACCCAGAGTAGTTCTGATTTAAGAAAATCTGCAACGTTTATCACTAGCTCCACATCCCCAGCAAGCTGACATTTCAGAAAGGACATTACCGTTCTGTTCAGTTTACTTGAGAGGGAGCATTGATGTCTAAGCTAGAATGAGCACAAATCATGCATAAGTAAGTTGTTTATGCTGTCAGTTATTAGGTACACATTTAGAGTGCTGAAGAACATTGGGAACTCTGCAGTGCCCTCTTTAAATTAGGGACCACATTAGTGGTGCCACAACCATTTGCTGTGCACAACCTTCAGAGTTGTACCAACCACAGACTGGCATTGTAAATGAAATTAGTAGTCCTTGTTTATCAATATTTATTTAGGGAATATTGCAAACTGTGGGCAGATGCTGAAGTCCTTACTCACGCTCTTCTGCCACTTGCTTTAAGGAAAGCTAATCACTCTGTCCTGCAAACTAATGCTTACTCTGTGTGGAAAAAACTACACTGAAGCTTGTTCTGTCACAGCAGCATTTGCCTCTTCTCTTCCAGGACACTGCACAAAGTCTCGACAGAGTCTGTCTGTGGTATTTACCCCTAAGCATCTCCCTGTTAGCCTACCTTGAAGCCTGGTACTCACAACTGCACCCAGTATTCTCCTGGGGCTCTGCTGGTGCTGAAGAGCCTGGAGGGGTGACCTCATGGGCCTTGTGCAGACTATATGCACCCATTTTTCTGTCTGGGTACAATGTTTGCTTCTGTCACATTGGTCTTCATGGAGAACCCTTTCCTGGCTGTGCTTTCATAAAGGGCCACCTTTGTTCTACATTTTGAGGAAAGCCAGTCTATTGTTTCTGCTGTTGTTCACAAAAGAGAAGGGTGAAGTGGGCACAAGGAGCCTCAGGGCAGGATTCAACTCTTGTTGCTTCATCACTGTGAGAATGAAATAATTCCCAAATTAATACAAATCACAGTTTTAGCACAAGAGCTTCTGGTTTGATAATTTTTTTCAAGAACTGGGCATCAGTTTTGACCAAGCAAGGAATGTTATCACATCTTGACAGAAGAGTTTTTCATGTGTAAGCTCCCACATGTGGGAAAACAAAAGAAATTACTTTCAAGCTAAGGGCAGAAGCACAACAAAGACATGGAATAACTCAGTGAAAAGTAGGAGTCTGTGATTCTAGATACTCTTAAACTGACCAAATTTCTGAGGCTCAGATGCCCTCAGAAATTTGGTCAGTTCATCAGTGCAGTGACTGTGACTCATGAAATGAACTGTTTTAAATATGTCTAGTTTTTATGGAAAATGCAGTGACCAGCTGTCCACAATGAGTAATCTGTGCTTGACTTTCTATAAGTAGATCCTTTTGGCCTCTCTTGTTTTTGTTTCCTTTTAATGTGGCATGCAAGAAGGGATGTGTGCAACAAAATGACACCACAGCTTCCTACACTAACAGACAATTGCTAATGAAAAATTTGCAGTTAGATATGCCTAATTTCACAGACTGAACTTGCTAGTTTTCAAATCACATAAAGCTAAAGTACATTGACAGTGATGAGTGGTACACACTTGCCAGCACAAATATGTCAGTATGTTCAGTTTTATGAATACATTAAGCACTGTGAATGCACTTAGCATAATAGACTTGCATTTTAACTGGATATTTTGTGACTGGATTGATGTTTGCATTAGTTCAGAGGAATTCCACCTTTATAGCACAAATTCGACTTTGTTCTGAGTAAAGTCAGCAGGTTCAGTAGGAACCAAATTTGACCTAAGATCAAAAGGTAAAGTTTGATTTTGCTGGTCTGTCCTCTTCCTTCCTACTGTGTTTCCCTTTCCCTTAGAGGTGGCAATTTGAAGGTATCAAAGCATCTTATCAGCTACAGCAATGGCTAAATGGAAAACATTTATTTTCAGAGAAACTGCAAGAGTGAGCCGGCATTATCTCTTCATCAGCTTCTGCCTCTCTCCTATAATTTAAATTCTAATTGCTACAAATTACAGTATATAGTTTTTATCAGTTGTGGACCAACAGGAATTTTAGACCTTGGACTAATATTCTTTATGATCTTGTATCTAAACAACTTTGCATGTGCTGATGTGCGAACACATGGTCACTGTAAATGAACTGAGACTGCTCACTCCCACCTTAGTAAAACTGAAATGAGAAATGTGGGTTGCTTGGATGAAAAGCCATGTTTCACAGGATCCATACCCTTCCCTTCACTGGTGGGACAAGGTGGCTTTTTGTAATAGACAAGGTGTAAGGAATACAGAACACCATGCCCCTGAGTCGTTGCCTTTCCTCTACCTTCTCAACATGGTCTTGATTTTGACTGTAGCCTTCAAAAATAACACTTCATGATATCCTAATTTAACCTGCCAGTTCGTATACTCATCACCTTCCTGAAAATCGTTCAGCTTCAAAGCTTTCTCCTAAACCTTGCAAAAACACTTTGGTTTCCCGATGCTTCGGGCAGCTGACAGCATCTTTACACAGCTCCTGATGTTGTCTTCAGATGAGAGGCTTGCCCCTGCCTACAGGGCACTTTCTCCCTTGGTGATGCTGAGCACTCTGACTTGGAAAACAGCCACCAGCCTGTTGGCAACCTTTGAGTGCAAATTTGTTGAGTGGAAGTGACAGCTTTTCTATCTGAAAAACAGGGAGTGGATCAGCCTGCCTTGGAACAGGAGGTTATGGAGAGGTACGGATTTGTTGTCAAAGCCACTGGCCCCAGCCTTGGACCAGTGGCATACAAACCCCTCCCTGCTCCAGGATGTCACTGGGATATGGCTATGTGGTTGAACCAGCTGCAGGAGGTGGGTGCCAGCCAAGTGGAAACCTCCCTTCCCTTCTCCCCTCTGAGGTGGATGTCCTAAGTGGGGCAGCAGGAGCAGAGTCTCTGTACCCTGCACGCGCCGCCTTGACCTCCATTCATGCTGGGCAACAGAGAATTAATCTGACCAGCCACTCATCTGCCCTGTGTCGTTCCTACAGAGGAAGAGCCAGCTGAGCCCAAACTGCTGACGCTCGAGCTTAGACTGTCTGCTGGTACATGCCTTTTCCATGGGAGCTCATCCCTGATGGCTCAGATGTCGAGCAGGACAGGCTGTGCCTGCCTGCAGAAGAGTAGAGATATCCACCCTCCTTGCTGCCACACAGCTCTGCTCCCCACCTAGAGATCGGACACAAGGATCTCATGAAAGCCTCCTCTCGTAGGAGTGTTCCCAGCAGGAAAGCCCGGGTTGCATGGGCTGAGTGCAGCTGGTAAGCCAGGGAGCCAGCTCCCCAGTCCCAGCACTGGCAGGAGGGCTTTCATCCGAGAAAAGGCGGATGTCACGCATGCAGAAGAGTTAATCATGTGGGAAAAAGGCTGTTCGGGGGATTAAAAGGACTATTTGCCCAGCCCCCAGTTTGAAGAACGAGAAAGAGGGAGAGGATCGGGGATTGCCCCCCAGTGATGCCCAGGTGCAGCTGGGGCAGCACGGCCCCTCTCCCAGCACTGCTGCAGGGAGATGTGTGGAGGGGCTGAAGCCACCCCTGGGCTGTCCACTGCCTCCATAAAGGCACTTTACGGGAGTCCTCAGAGCAAGGATTTGCCAGGTATTTAACTGATGTACACTGCTCTTTGGCAAGCGGCAGAGCAGTGACAGAGAGCGGGGCAGCTGCAGCACTGTGCAGGCAGTGGGGTGGCTGTCCCACGGCAGCTTTTCTTCCCTGGGGATGCTCCAGGCTGTGCAGCCACAGCCCTTCAGAGCCCCTCTTCACAAACTGATCACTGAGTAATGCTTATGTCTGTCCTTTATGCACTAGGCAGAATGACATAGTGTAGCAGAGAGCTTAAACAGTGCTGCTGTGTGGAAAAAAATGGCCTGATAATGGTATTTTAAGTCATTTTAAGGGTGTGTGGTGGCCAATACACAACATAGAGGTTTCTTATTGAGGCATGTCCGAAATGCAATTCTCTGTTATTGCAGTCCTGGTTTCATAGCACAGCTTAGCCAATATGAGTGATGAGGCAGAAAACTGCTCAAACAGAGGCAGGGTATGGATGAACATTGGTGGGCAGCAATCTAAGCAGATGTCAGAGAACTTGGACCCTGGGGACGGGACTGGGAGTATCAGGTAGGAGCTGGGAGCCACAACTCACGCTGCAGCCTAGGGGGTGGAGGGGAGGACTGGCACACTGGAGGAGAAGGAGCACATCAGGTTACATGCAGCCTTTGTTCTGTAACGGCGGCAAGCTGAGAGTTGCTTTGCTCCAAGGAAAGCAGGCTGGTTGCCACCTCATATGACAACATATTTGGTTGAGATCAGGTTTAAACTCCCAGTTGCTCTTCTTCTATCACCTAAATCCATTGGCTTCTGCCTTGCTGCCCTGGCTGGAGGTGTGAATTTCCTGAAAAGGCTCAAGATACTTTCCTTTCTCAGCTGTTTACTCTTTCCTTTTTCTGTGGCACAAACTGTCTCCATGCTCTCACCAGCTTTCCGGACCAGCATGAAGGTCCACCCCAAGAAATACTCCCATCTTATCCAAGAATGGATGGCCACCACCATCTTGAGCAACATAAATTACTCTCAGCTGAGCCTGGCCATCCTGCAGAAAGCCTGCCATGGTAGTAAGGCTGACACACTCACTCCAGAGGGTGGTTGGGCACCAGAACAGGCTCCCCGGGGAAGTGGTCACAGCACCAAGCCTGACAGAGTACAAGAAGCATTTGAACAATGCTCTCAGGCACATGGTGTGACTCTTGGGGTGTCCTGTGCAGGGCCAGGAGTTGGACTTGGATGATCCTTGTGGGTCCCTTTCAAGTCGGGATATTCTAGGATTCTATGATCCTATGTATCCAGTGGTCTCCCATGTGTCTGCTTAATGGGAACAAATCCATCCATGAAAGTTTGATGTTTGTTGAGTCCAGTGACTCCTCACTGTTGTAACACTATTTCTCAAAACAAAACTTCGTGCTAATCTCACATCTTGATTTTTTTTCTCTTGTGTAAAGGCAATGGCAAGAAAGGTGGAATGTAATTATTGCATTATTCCTCAGATATAATATCAAGGTTTGCATTTAGATATGCAATAGAAAAGAACATAGAAATAGGTCTAAAAATTTGCAGCACAATTCAACATGACTCTGCCTGTTACGTTTTCAGCTCACCACATTGTTTGCACACACACTCAAATACAGGTGCAGATGCACTCCCTATATGAAATGAGGTGACACCCTTCTCTCCCCTTCAGGTATTCCACAAGTATTCCACTGTTTAAGGTCCCCTGGGTCCTGCAGGCATCCCTTGGGGGTTTCAGAGCTGTGCATGGGCATGTGACAGTGGCAGACTGGACAAGGAGCAGAGGTGACTCCTGCATCATGGCAGGGAGGTGACAACTATCAGAGCTGCCCCTGAGGAAGGCACCAGAGCACTGTGAAGGGGGGAAAAATAGCACCTGCATGTAAAAAGGCGTTTTGTCTTCAGCCAGCCCTGTTTCAGTACCCTAAAAAGTACTGATTCAATGATTGTGCAGTTAACTTGACACCATAGAAGAGAAAATAAAAGAATTGAAGAGTCATCATAATCCCTGTTCTCTACTGAAGAAGAAGAAATCATATCAAGGTAATAATAGACATAACTCTCTGCTCTGACATACAACAGCTAAAACAACAACACAAGAAGAAGCTTTCAAAATTTCACCAGGTAACAGTCTCACTGGCAAATTAAAAAATGATGAGCAAGACAAGAATCACAGAAGGCATGTAATTACTTAAGTACAGCCTTCATGGTTCTCATTCAAGAAGGTGAGTCATTTTAAGTGAGACCTCTCCTGGGCCTTAGTGTTTCCCATATGATCTACATGTAGGAGGAGAAAACCTATGTGTTAACAGGTTTGCAGGCATTGTGAAGCTGGAGGTCCTTTGAAGGATTACAGTTCCAAACAGTCATAACATTTTGAAAAGTGTTCTGAAATCAGTGTGATGGAACTTCAGCCCAGACAAATTCAAAATGCAGTAATTAATTCCACCCTAGAACCAGATGTACAGAGACAAAAAAGGGAATGGCTGAGAAAGTAGCACTACCAGAAGGATTTCAACTAGAATATGAGTTGATGGTGGCTAATCTCACCAGAAAGAAGGTGCGTATCACTGAGGAACAGCATGCAAGATGCTCCAGTGATTGCACTACTGGTCATTGGTAAGGTTTCAGTTATGTTCAGATGTGGACACCATTGCTGAGGAAGCACAAAATGTGGCAAGTCTGGATGGCACCAAGAAGAGTAACAAAAAATTTAAGGAACAGGATCTCTAGGAGAGGGTTGAGTGAATGTTGTTAATTTTCCCTTGAAGAAAAAGATTGTTAGAGGATTGGACATGGATGACAGAGATCACTTGTCCAGAGGACATGGATCCCAGAAGATACTGAAGCAAGGTGCTTCCTCAAGGTCCCTGTTTTCTGGCTGTGCTTGCTGGGGATGTCTGTGGCTGGTGGCCCTGCTGAGGCCGTCCTGTGTTCAGCCCATCGTAGGTGTGAGGGCTGGAGCTCCTTTCCCAGGGTTTGGCAATGAATGCACTGATTGCTGTTGCTCCCACGTAGGCAGACTCATAGTGGTTTTGAAGAAGCTCTCCTCTGGTTGGAAAACAACCCCATGGATGTCGCTACAGAGTTGCATCTCAAAATCTCCCCCACAAGATGCAAAACAGAACTAACCAAGTGATCCTGAGAAGAAATAGGCTAATTTAAAAAGTACTAAGGCGTCTGATCGATAAGCTCAACCCAACCTGCATTTCCAGAGCTAATTCATGCATTGATTTTCCCACTGATTTTCAGTAACCACAAGGTTCCTGGCTAGATTAGCAAAGGTATTTAGATCTTAAGATGGAGTCATTTTAGTAGTCTTAGTCACCTTAGTACTTAAATCCAGTTGATTTATAGTTCAGATTAGGTCTCTATGCAAGATGTGATCCCGTGAAGTGAGCACATTTAAATTTCTGGGTTTATATGCCTTCACTGCTTTGAAAAGGAGGTCTGTTCTCCAAATCACCTGGGCTTTGAAAAGCCTTTTAAAACATGGGCCTAAACATGCAACCAGGTACCTTATCTCAGGCTAACTGGGGTTTCTTCCTGCATGGGAATTAAGGTTCTTGGCTTAGTGTTTCAGTGAAGTTTCTAAATATTTTTACAGCTCATCACCAACCTGTTAAAGGATTCACAGACTCTGAGCTACCAAAGACACGGGTAGGCTATAGATAAAGTGATCAGCTGTATCATTGACAGCACATTTGGGAAACATTAACCAAAAGTAAAAGCCTTTTATAAGAAGGCCATAAAATGGGCAGGAGTAATTATGTTTTTCCAAAGTTAATCATTGACTTTTGTTTATTTGGCTTTTTATAAAAAACTTTTTCCTTTCTCTCCTGTAAGGAATAAAACCTATAAAAGGACCAGCAAATTGGATTCAGCCTTTCTTCTTCACGCTGGCCATGCTTGAAGGCTGATGAGACAAAGGCTGACAGAGAAGCTTACTGGAGGAAACCTACTTCATTGAGAGGTTCTCAGCCTGGACATGAATATGTTGGTCCACCTCTGGCTTCTCTGTGGTCTGATCACTGCTGTGACCCCTCAGAATGTCAACCAACAAGCCCAAAATTTTCTAGAACAGTTTAACAGGATGGCAGAAAATATCAGCTACGAGAGCTCCATTGCCTCATGGAACTACAACACCAACATCACTGAGGAGAACGCCAAGAAAATGGTAAGTGCTCCATCCCGTGGGTTTTACTGTTGTCATAGGAATCTGACAGCTACTTTCTGGTTTATTCTGGAGTTCCACCAAGCTTGGCTGAAATTGTTACTTGATATCTGTGGTTTAGTTTGAGGAGGGTAGAGGGGCTTGCTTTAACATAGCAATGCCTCACCGGGTGTGCTTGGGCCACTACTAGCCTCTACAGCCTTGGGTTGGTACCTGGACTGCCTTTGCACTGCACAGGGATGGCTGGAGCCTGGGCTTGTCCCTAGCCGTCACTTGGAGTCACCCCAGTGAGTGGAGGGAAAAGGCAAGGATGCTCTGCATGTTCGTTCCCAAAATCTGTGTTGAATGGAGAGAGATGTGACTGAATTTATGCCGGGCTTTTTACTGGCACAGCCATCGCTCTCTCTTCTCTGGTCCTGAAATTGTTTTGCTTCTCAGTGAATATGCAAACATTTTCTGAATGTAGGTATTCTATTAAATGTTTGCTGATGGGTTTATATGGTGGTCCACACCAGTTATCCAGTGGGGGACTTTTCCCCCTGCCTCCATCACTCTTCTCATAGTCAGGGCTGTTGCTATGCTGCCTGGAGGTATTAAACTGGGAAAAATGAATCGAGATCATCGACTACCAATTGCCAGCAGTGGAGTTTGTAGTACAGTGGTCTAGTATATTGGTTTGAAAGTCAATTTCTATCTGCAGGAAGGACCATGGCATTTATACCTATACTGTCTTGCAAAACAGTTCTTGCTTCTCAACACTAGCCTCTGGTTTTCCCAGACAACAGGAGCTCTAGGCAAGAACAGGGCTTTTTGAGAGCAGGCATCTATGGCCTGGCTGGTTACTGATATTGCCATGCCTCAGCCCAGCATCTTGTGAGCTCAGAGCCTCTCAAAATGCACAAAAACACCTTGAATTTTGTAGCTGTGTGTATTTTAAAGTTAACTCAAGCTTTAGAGAAAAGAATTTAGGGCATAAAAATGAAGCTCAACACTGTACATCTATTTTTGCATAATGGCTTGTCTTCCACTTTGTGGTCATATAGCTTAATTGAAACATGGTTTAATTATCATATTTCTTAATTAAAGCAAGGAGACTGGTTGCTGGAAGAAATTCAAATGACTAATCATTGTCAATCTGGAATGCTTTCCAAGGCACCAGGTGCTTAAACTGTAACGTTTCCAAACACATAAAATGAAAGCCTCATGTATTATTTCCAGCATTAATGAGATGATAATAAAATACACGAGAAGATACCAGCAATAAGAACCAATTAGTCCATTGCTCAGAGAGAATGTTTTCTCTTGCTTGATCTCTTCAGCAGCACTGGTAAGAAACCCACTGATTCCTCTTTTCCTTTTCTGCTGGAAGAGAGTTAATGAATACTGTCCCTTCTGGCTCCTTTCCATCCATTTTCCTTGTAATCATGTCACAAACCCTATAACTATTCCTCTGAGTTACCAACAAGTTCCTCTAATTGTGGAAATATCAGACAGCAAGTTAACTTCTTTCCTCTGGCTTTTGTAGCCAAAGAGCCCCCCCTTCTGCCCCGCCACTCCTAAGGCACCTCTCTGTCCCTGCTTAGGAGAAGGAGCTCAGGAACACATTTTCACAGTGATGCTCTTCCTCTGGGTGCTTATCAAGCTCTTGCCCACTTAGCTTTGCATGCTCTCATGAAAGGGAGAGTTTGGAAAATCTCCCAGTGGTGGCTGCTGTCCTGCAGAGGGGCTGCATGGGCAGGGGAGACGCAGGGACAGGACTGCCAAGGGCTTACATCTGCCACTGCTTCTCTCTGCTGGAGCCTAGAGCAGGTACAGTGGGCACTGCACACACGGCACACCTGGGGTTGGACAGCCCGGGCACAGCCCTGGCAAAAGCCTTGGCCTTGCTGTGTGTTTGTACAGGGGTGAAAGGTGACTGAAGGAGCTCTTCAGGCACAGTATGACATTTGTGTTTCCTGATTCCTCAGGAGGGAGGGACGGCTGTTATAGGTGCCCTCTCCACAACCTGGGAAGTATCGGTAATAAGCACAATCAATTAAACTGTCTGAAGGACCCAGGTCAATCAGTATTGTTCTTGTTGCCATTTGGAATGGGTGCCAATGTGCTAAACTGTGTACAAATACGCTAGAAAAAGGTGAATAAGACATTCCCAAATCCAAACAATGCTCTTATGGTGCTACTTTGTGCACTGAAATGTGGGAGTTTCACATGTATGTGCATAATTGCAGCAATGGTAAAAGCAATCTCATAAAATGTTGAGGGTTTGCATGCCCAATTTAGGCAATTGCCTAGAGCCTCCTATGTCCAAGTATAAAATAAAAGAAAAATTTATTTATCAATATTTCAGAAGAAAGTGATATTTGGATAATGAAAAGACTCAGTATCAATATCTTCTGCTGTTGCTGTTGGCTGCTTCTCTGCCACTGCTACTGCACCAAAAATAGGAAGTGACATCTGTGTTACCGACCTGTTTGTGCCCTTTCTTGTTTCCTCACAGGTGGGCAAAGAAAAGCACTAAAGGAAGAATAGGTGGTGATTTAGAGTAGCAGGGAACACAGAAAAGTGACACTGGATCAATTATAACAAGCAAGGTGTGAGGAGACAGTCATGCTTTTTGTTATTTCCAAAGAAAAATGGTTATCTGGATGTGTGAGTAAAACAAGGTCAAAAAGCTCTCCAGCCATTTCACTGTGCAGTGCAAGTGCTCAATCCGCAATCCACAAGTGTTCTCTACAAATGAAGTTCTCTACAGAAGTAATATTTTTGCCCACTGAGTACATTGGGCTGCTGCACTCTTTGGGAGGGAATAATTCAGGGTTTGTTTGAACCCCTTGCAGAACGAGGCAAGTGCCAAGTGGTCTGCATTTTACGACGAGGCCTCTAGGAATGCCAGCAGCTTCCCAGTAGACAGCATTGAGGATAACCTCATCAAGCTCCAGATCCAGATTCTCCAGGACAGAGGATCATCTGTGCTGTCACCAGAAAAATATAACAGAGTAAGTTGCTGAATGTACCTCATTTATGTTGGGTGAGTTGAGCTGTCTCCCACAACACCCTCAAGTGAGAGCATGGTGCTGTTGCCACTCTGCTTGTCTTGCGATGATGGTGTGTGTGATAGGGAAGAGTACCTGTTCTAGATGTTTGTAGGAATACAGGACTGGAAGGGGGTGTCTAGCCTAGGAAGCTGATTGCCATTCAAGTCAGCAGTTTTGCCATTGAATGAATTTCAAGCACACGCACAACACGAGCGTGCCTCAGAGTTGTCCTTGCACAAATGACAGGATTAGTCATAAGAGAAAAAAAGGACCTATGGTAAGTGCTTGGTGAAGTCCAGACCTAGGGCAATGAGCAGAAAGAGATGGCTGAAAGGACATCCATTGAGTCAAAAAGGTGCACGTGGTGCATTATCAAACTGTGACAAAGAGAGGATGTTTTGTTGCAGTGGGCACCTTGGGATACCTGAAACTGGGGAGGGCTGGTGACCTCCTTCCACAGAAAGCCACTGAAGGCCAACAAGATTTAGCAAGACTCATAAGGAGATTTGACATTTGCACTGGCAAGTTCATGTAAGAGGCAGGTGTATGGATAATGACTATTTGTGAAATTGGAGTGAGCAGCTATGCAGACTCAAAAGGGATTTATAGCCAATCATAACCAAACACTTGAGAGTCAAATTAGTTTCATTTTGCTGGAGATCGAATTGACACATAGCATTGAGTCATGGGAACCTACAGTCCGGGATCCTACAATGCTAATTATTGAAGGATCCTGAGATTTTTCTGCTAAGTGCTAGCAGTGCTAACCACCATAGAAAAAAACCAGTGGATTGGCTGAATCTCTTGTATCTCCAAATGAGATGTGTTTCTCGAAAGACACATTACGTTGGCGGGAATGCTGACAGTTTATACAAACTTATATTTATTTTGGAGCATAACAGTGCACTGGTGGTAATGCTGTCTCAGTTGAGGAGGTATTTTCTTCAGTACCCTCACTGTTCAGATATTTAGAGTTTCCTAGATAATGGCCTTTGAGACTGAAGTTGTTGATTCTTTCTTGAAAAGTGACTTTTTGTAGAGTCTGATGGGATTCAATAGAAATATTTAGGTATTCTTCACTAATACAAAAATTTCCCTGGGCACCATTTTAATGCTGACAGAGATAAAGTCAGAGCTAATCACTAACTACCCCTCCCACTGACAGCTGTTTATAGTTCTGATTTAGAGATCTAAATGAGAAATTTCATAGTCCTAAAGGAAAAGCTAAAAGTGGTACATATATTTCTTGAGTCATGAAAACATGAAAACATTAAAATAAACTCAAAAAAACAAAGCTACATAGCATAGGTTCTGAGGTGATTTCAGATGGGTTTTGGCCTTCAGCTGAGCCAAGACATGAGCCATAACTTCTCTGTGATGATGTATAAGCAGATATATGCAATCAGTGTGATGTGACATTAAAACCACAAGCAACAGTCAGCCTGGCAGCATCTGCAGAAGGGGCCCTTTTGCTGCCATTCAAAGCCATGATCTCCCTAGGAAGTTAATGTGGGTTCATGCTTATGGAACCACATTGCTAAACTTTTATTGTTTTATTGCTGCTGTGTATTTATAGCTTTCCTGTGACAGTCAGTGCTCATTAAATCCAGCGATCTGTTTGACTGGATATTCAGAACCTGTAGGTTACATCATATATTTGGGAGATTATCTGTCTTCTCCAGCTAGGTCTGGTTCACTAATGCATTTAGGCAAATTCTTTCATTAAAATCTACTGAGTTTAAACATATGCTTCAATGCTAAGCTGGTGGGTGAAGTGTTGAATCAAGCTCTTAAGGAATTAGCATAATTGGCTGTTATTTTGCACAGAGTGGGTTTCTAACAGACTGTCTTGCATCTAACTTGCAGCTGGGCACTGTGCTAAGTACAATGAGTACCATCTACAGCACTGGGACCGTCTGTAAAACCAATGATCCATCTGAGTGTTTGGTGCTGGAACCAGGTACGGTACTAACCACTGCCCCTACTGTGTCCTTTACCCTGAGGGTGCGCAAAGAGAAAGCCCAAGGGTGGCTCCTGACTGCAAGGGGACAGGCAGTAATTTCAATAGATATATCCTGCTATCTAAAGCTTAGTCATAATTTAATTGCACCTTGCAGTTCAGGGAACTCCAGTGGGCCTGCTGCCCACGAGACATACTGTCTCCTCCTTGTAGTAGACAAAATTTGGAGAGGGCTGCTCAGTTTGTTTGGCAGCCTGCCTGTCACCTGGGGTTTGCCTACATCACAGAAAATTTAATTTTTTTCCCCTGCTGTCAAAGTCTTGTTGGAATCAATGCTGTGTTGAGGCCAGTCCCAAGAACTCTACCAACTCAAGGGAGGGCAATGCAGAGAGAGCATTTAAGACACTCATGATCTGCTCCATGCTTCTTAAAAAGAAGGGAAAAACCTTAAATGAGAGAAGGATACAATAAAATAATGGGATATTTCAGTATATCAAACACAAAGTGCTTTCTTCTCAGTTCATGAAATTTCTTTCACTTGGGTTCATTTGCCTGCTGTGAAAGAAAAAGTCTGCTTTTTTAAGGCCCAGTACTTAATTTTCATTCTGACAGGTCTGGATGCTATTATGGCTGACAGCACTGATTATCATGAGAGACTGTGGGCCTGGGAAGGCTGGAGAGCTGATGTTGGCAGGATGATGAGACCATTATACGAAGAGTATGTTGAGCTTGAAAACGAGGTTGCGAAGCTTAATAGTAAGTAATTTTTTTTTTAATAATTTTTGTTTTCCATAAACTAGCAAACATACTGCAGTCTTGCACAATTTGCCCAGGAATTCAAAACTCGTACATAATTTGCACATAATTTGCTCTTGGTATGCACGTCCCAAAGTAGGACGCAATGCTGACAGATGCCATTGACCAGATCAGAGGTTTCTTACCAGCCTGGAACACCAGGCACCTTTTTGTTGGCACCCTTCTTTGTGGCACTTTTTCCAAAGGCCATAATGTATCAGTGCCCTTCATTACATACTGTCTTACCCAGAATTGCACTGCTTGTAACTTATGGCTAAGCACACTTGATTTGAACAACTTCTGAGTGCTGTTGAGTTTTGGGAACATCTCCTCTTTCCTATGGGCCTTGACCTTCTTTCTGGAACCACAATCATTGGTAGCACTTATAAGCATTATTCCTGAGCAGGAATGATCAGATTTAGTAGGCCTGGGCCAGCATATGCAGCTGGGTGTTTAAAAAGGATTTTGGACTAAGTGTGCTTCCAGTCTGAGATCTCCAGACAAATCATAGGAAACTGTCTTTTCAAGGAACAATGGCAGGTGGCTGCTAATTTTCTTTTGGGGTCTTCTAAGATAGCTTCTGAAGTTGCTACATCATCTGTCTTTTGGACAAACTGCAGCTGTATCACCTGCTTTCCTATACTCCTTGTGTTGCAAAACTTGTCAAGCTGGAGCTAGAGACAAGGGATAAGAAAATATAGTCCAAATAGTTAGACAGGGAAAACCCTCAAATATTAAGAAATGGTCATTATGACTTTCCTTCATACGACTAAGGAAGAAACTTCAGCAATGAGCCACTTCTACTCCAGGCTTGATGGAGCTCTGTGGACTGGAAGATTTAGTGGAACTGGGAGCTCAGTTTCAATTGGGGTATCTCCATCTGTCTTGGTGGATTAGTTGCTGGAAGAGGGGGCCCATATTTAATGTTCACCAGCCTATACCTTTGGTGAGAACAAACCCCTTGATATCCAGCTGTCCCTCAGGAGCTTCAGTCAGGAGTGATGATTTCCTCTGACCTCCATCTCCAGATGGAATGACCCTAATTAGCAGATAACCATGACTGCAATTTCTGAATTTCTTGGAAACCTCCCATACCTGCATGTTCATGGGACAGAGCCTCAGGGAGCTCTCTACTTCCTGCTAGACCCAAACTATCTTGCACTTTGCCTTTTTGCTTTGGGGGAAGGCTGCAGGTCACCATGGGATCAGAAGGGAGCTGCAGACCTAAGCAGTGCCACATGTGGTGTCCTGATGTGATGCATCCATGCTTTACAGATTATTCTGACTATGGAGATTACTGGAGAGCAAATTATGAAGCAAATTTTCCAAAAGATTATGAATACAGCCGTGACCAGCTGATAGAAGATGTGGAGAAGACATTTGAGCAGGTAGAGGCAGAAGAAGCTCTCACCTGGGTTGTGTTTTGAAATGGTGGGCTCAGATGTTGATGTTATGAAAAAAGATGAGACCACCTCTAAACTGGCTGATTGCAGTCTACCTGGGTTTAACAGATGTTGGGAGACACACATGAGATTTTTATCTCTGCAGCCATTCTAGGACCAGCTTGGTCCCCTTGGGCTGCATTGTCCCCAAAGGCTGAGAGAGGGAGCTCTGTAAGTCTGTGTCTCTCATCCAGGTAGGGTCCATGGCAGGAGGTATGTCTCCTGTGGGGTAGATGGCATCCTTGATACTCTGCATTTAAAGTTAGCAATGCTCCCTTCCTCATACCTGAACATGACTTCTGGGGCTAGGATCTGGACTCAGTGCTTGAGCCCTGAGGCAGGGAGCAAAGCTCAGCTGCAGGTTTGGGGTGCACTTATCTGCCAGGAGAATTTTGTCAGAGGCATCTTCAAGGCTTTCTGTTTAGGAGTGACGAGTGGCATAGAGCAAAGTGAAAATAATTAGTTTCCTTCTCCTTCTCTGCCATCAGATAAAACCTCTGTACCAGCAGCTGCATGCCTACGTGAGACACCACCTGGAGCGAGTGTACGGCCCCAAGCTCATCAGCTCCACAGGATGCCTCCCTGCTCACTTGCTGGGTATGTCAACATGTCCATGTCACGCAAGCCTGACTTTATACACAGGACAATCACCTTCAAGGCATGAGGGAAGAGAGTAATTTGATTGTTTAATCATGATAGTAGCAAAAAGGTTACAGATAAGAGAAGGGGAGAGGAGAAATGGAGAAATTCCTGGCAGAGATGACACGAGTGCTTAGCAGCAGAGGCAGGAAGAGAAGGCAAGTTGTCCTCATCCTCACCAGAGCTGGCAACACACAACTCAGAACTCTAGCATTGGGCTGGGGCATTTCCCTCCCCTTTGCAGCACTGGTCATCCTTAGAAATGAGAGTTTCGGAGAGAGTTGTTTTTCCTTTCAAATCTTAAACTCCCGCATTTCACGACTTTGCTTTCAAAGCATGCAGCATCAAGCTGCTGTAATTGTTGTGTACTTGAATATAGCACGGAAATCACATAGACTAACAACGTGGATGTTCAGTTCTGAAACTATATTGTACAAGAATATCTGACATTGGGTAATAAAAGCATCTTTGATGTGAGTTTGACCTATGCATGACTTCCCAGAACTGCTCCCCTCCACATCTGGATCAGACCAGTTTAGATATATAGAAATCCCTATTTATGACACTGCACAATTTATAGAGCTGTCTGGCACTTTTGGACAATACATAATAAATAATTGAAAGTATTTCTATGTTTCTCTCTTTTTATGAAGGTGATATGTGGGGTAGGTTTTGGACAAATCTGTATGCCTTGACTGTTCCCTATCCAGCCAAACCCAACATTGACGTAACTGATGCAATGGTTCAAAAGGTAAGACATGCATTTATGCATTGCATTGTGTAACAAATCTAGACAGTAGAAAAATTAGGCACCAAGTGTCAGCTGCTCTCTAGAAAACCATGGCTTCCCTCAGGCAGACACACTGCCAACAAAACATTGCTTTATGCATCCTTTTTTTGCTTTTCACCTTAATGTGTTTATGCATTTTTCACTGTACCTTTCCCCTTAGCTGTTCTCTTTCTTCCTACACCCAAGGCTCCAAGTCTATTTTCCTCTGAGACATCTATCCATTAAGAGATATATTTTGAACATATAAATATTTTAGGAGTTGGCTGGTATCAAATATGATCTTTGCCAGTCATTACCATAATAAAATAGTTTGTACATCACAGTTTGTTTCATTTTTGTCAGTCTTGTTTATTTGCATACATCTAGGAAACTGCATTGCTGCCTGTTATCTTTTGATAACTGCATAGCACCATAAGGTCTGTGTTTGAGATCTGTAGTGCTAAAAGCTGCGATGGCACCTTTACCAGACCAAGAATAGGGGTGAAGACAACTCTCTGCAGTCTTGCCTAAGCTTCACTTCTTTTAAAAAATAAACAATGATAGGTGGAATTTGATTTTTGAAATGTGCTTATTCACCTGGAATCTAACCTTCTGTCATAGGGAGCACTCCATGCAGATGTTATGCTGATAAGAGAAAAGAAACAGCTAAAGGTGATTCATTAGCAGTTTGCAAAAGTCTGCATCATTCTCACCTCTATTTTATGCTGCTGATCCCCCATCAAAAATCTGTATCTGTTGAAGTATCATCACAAGGAGGGGCAAAGGCTGAGCTCCTCCTTGTTGGTTGATGTCCCTAGTTAAGAATTCTCATCCACCTGAGCTGTTTGCCACCTAGATCTCTGTGAAAGCTAAAGTCCAGTAAATGCAGAGCTTCTGATATGTAGGATAATAAAACTGCTGAACGGCAAAAATATCTCGGGCATTACCACACAGTCACAACCTGATAAGCAACTCCCACAGACACATTTGCCAGGTTTTATAGTTCTAGCTGAAATCTGTCATGCTCGTCTTCTGGGAATGTAGCTCCACTCCATCAAATGAGTTGACCCAAGTTGACTGAAGTGGCTGAAGGGTCAGATCCCAGATCTGGCATGCTACTGACAGGAATGTCTTTCTTATCTTACCATATCTTTTATTGAGAACTTCTCTGGTCTGGGTCAGGTGCTATCAGCTGAACCTCTGAGTGCAGAAACCTATTTTGTTCTCAGGGAAAACACTTAATTCCAGTTCCAAGCAGAATTTCCAGAAGTGCCAGAGGCGCAGACACTACTATCTTACTCTCAGTAAACCAGGTGCTGATCTGAAGTTCCTTGGAGATAAAGTCAGCTGCCCTGCATTAAGGAAGCCATTGGGAACAGGCTCCATGAAGAAGCAGTGGGTATTGGTGGCATTTTCTCTTTCAGGGGTGGACTGCAAATAAAATATTCCAAGCTGCTGAGGCCTTCTTCACCTCCGTTGGCCTTTATAACATGACTGAGGGCTTCTGGACAAACTCTATGCTCATAGAGCCGACTGATGGCAGGAAGGTTGTCTGCCACCCAACGGCATGGGATCTGGGGAATAACGATTACAGGTACTGAAATTGCTATGATCCCCTTTTATACCATCTCCTAGAATAAACATATTTTCACTAAAGGTGCAACATCCTGGTTTAAGTTATAATTTCTCCTACTTTATTTTTTTCTGGTTGATAAGAGGGGAAAGGAAGACAAGATCCTGTAGGACTGTTAACTTTTCTGTGTAACTTTTTCCATGAAGGTCTAAGAACTACTCTCAAATTTTAGCTGAGAAGTGACTATTATTTATATGATTTAGAGAAATAATGACTATATTCTAGGGCTTAAGGAATAAGCAGAAAAGCAGGTGCTTGTGGATACCAGTGAGATTTGCGGACAACTGCATATTCTGCATCAATGGCACCGGGTCCCTGGGTAACAAGAGAAAATCTCCTGAGGGCCCACTGTCAATCTTTAGCAGAGAGATCCAGTTTCATAAAAATCCATCAATCTCTTCCATGTTTGGGAAAGGAGAAGGACGACAAGTCCCCACACAATGAAGTTTTTTGGCAGGAATTCTGTCCCCTCTTGCAGTCCCCACAGTTACCCAGGGAAAGAGCCTGGTCTCCAGCAAAGCCTTAGTGAAAGCCATCAGCCTCACACCTTAGCGCTCTGGGGAAGGTGAAAAGAAACCCGATTTGGAAGAAATTTCTTTATTAAAAAGTTCCTACAAGAGGATGAAGTAGCAGGAGTCACCAACACACAGGGTTTTTCACACTACTATCTTCCTAAGATTGGTGGTGGTTACTCATTCCCACACACACAGTGAGTTTATTGCTAGGTTTTAGGAAGCAGCTGCTTTCTCACAAAACAGCGATTTTCTCTTACTCTCTGCACAATTTCAAGGTGACTGAAGGTGTTTTGCCTAGTTCCCCTCAAAGCCTCACTCTTGCAGGAAGAACTGCACTGCATAGCAGGATGTAGCAGCCCAGGTTTTGTGAGGGGCAAGGGGCATTAGCAAGCTCTGGAGGGGCTTTGCCCCATGGTTGTGGCAGACAGGGCTGAGGCAGCCACTGCCTAGGCCACTGTCTCTCTAACCACAAGCACGTTGTTCTGGTGTGCAGGATCAAGATGTGCACCAAAGTGACCATGGATGACTTCCTGACTGCACACCACGAGATGGGCCACATCGAGTACGACATGGCATACTCTGCACAGCCCTACCTGCTGAGAAGCGGTGCCAACGAGGGCTTCCATGAAGCAGTAGGGGAAATAATGTCGCTTTCTGCAGCCACTCCTGAGCACTTGAAATCTCTTGATCTCCTAGAGCCAACCTTCCAAGAGGATGAAGGTAAATAAATGCATAAATATTATGTATTTAAGTGAAAGCACTTGCAGGCCTTATTATGCCTGCGAACTCAGCAATCAGCTGAGAAGCTTCTGAAAATCTTACTACACTAATTTGCCAAAAATACTATTTTTTCCCCAAATCACATTGTAGAGCAAGGATCACGGCTTTACAATGATGCTACATAATTCAGAAACAAATAGTTAGCACTTCATTATCTTTGGTACTGAATTCGTCCTTAAATCTTCATAGTTCATTTAGATGAGTCTCCACAACACTTTTCAATTTCTGTTGCATGAATCCGTACATATCTCTATCAAGGTATGTATTTAGCAGTTCAAATGAAACTGCAACCTTGAGATTTACATCTCCCATTTGAGTGAATATTGAGTGATAACATGTCAGCCCTTGTTATAATGCAGTTTGTCTGGCTTCCCTGGAGTATTGCCTTAGAATGATGATGTACATTTTTGACATTTTTAGATGTCTTCAACTCAAAATTCCCCAGAGCCTGGGAGGGCTCTCAGTGAAGGATAATGAAATGCAAATGCCAAAGGCCAAGGTTATTTAAGAGGTTGGGTGAAAGAAAGAGGGATAAAACTGCATATAATACCTAAGGATTTTACCTTATGTTTTTTTTCAGTTGTATTCTTCCTTCCATGTTTTCTTTAGTGAAAATCTGTGATTCAAACAAGATGTAAGCATTAACTGTAAAAGGAAGCAACTTTAGCCATCAAATCAGATACTAATTGTTACCATAACCATTACCTTAACTGCTTCTCTCTTCAGAAACTGAAATCAACTTTCTGCTCAAGCAAGCACTAACAATTGTTGGAACAATGCCTTTTACTTACATGCTTGAGAAGTGGAGGTGGATGGTGTTTAGGGGTGACATTACAAAGGAGGAATGGACAAAACGGTGGTGGGAGATGAAGTAAGTTTGTAAAACAAAGAGGATTTTTTTCAAATGAACCTGCAAAACCAACCCTTCATAGTTACTCAACATATTGAGGAGTTTGTGCCCCCATAGGGCAGGATCTGTTTCTCTGGGTGTTTCTACAAATCTCTGTAGAGTGTCAGCTAGAAACACCCAGTGTGGTTCACACAATATCTCACAAGCCATGTATCCCCATTATTACTGTGTACAGCCCCAGGCATTTACCTTGCCTCTCAAAATACTTTCCCCACCATTTTTAATGTCAGTTTCCTGATAAAGACAGCACACAGTGTTCCAGATCAACACTGCTGTCCCCCTGATTCATGCCCCAAGACATCTTTGTAGCTTAAGTGCTTAAGTACAGCCCTTCCCTAAGTCTCATTGGTCATGTGTTCTGGTGTGCTCCCCACATCTTCAAGGACAAGTGGAAAGTGAAGTTCATCACACTTGCCAACCTGAGAAGCATGCAGATCTCAATCTACCAACTATCTGTGCACACTTCTTTGCTTTGTGTTTCCTCCCCACTGTCTAGTGGGTTTGGAGACAAATTGTCTGAAAGGTTCCAGACTGATTCTTTCCTTTCTTATATATTAAGATCCCAGCTTTATTTGTCAAGAAAATACAGTTCCCTTGGCAAATAACATCCAAAAGTGCATTATCAGATTACGCCCACCAGTCAATCTATTTTCACCACCTTGGAGCTCAAGATTTAAAAGTAGTTTGATTCAGATTACATTTTGGAATTTCTCAGGTTGGTTATAATATGGGGACAGAAAAAGACGAAGAAACCAAACAAGCCCCACACTGAAAATGGAGCTTGCCCTCTGACATGAACATGAACACTAAGCCTCTGTCAGCAAACAGAATCTATAATAAAACTTGATATATGCAAGCTTCCTGACCTACTGTAAAAATCAATCAGCTTCAATGTATTCAAAAGTAGCAGAGATGTCAGATAAACAGAGAATGACAAATTGTTCAGGGAAGCTTATCACATCTGTTGCAGTGGCACCGCAAAGCTCTGCTGGAACAAGAACTTGAAATATGAGCATACAGAACGTATTTCCGTGAAAGCTTATTACCATTTTCAGAACTTAGAGCATGGGTTTGTTTCTGTAGTGCTGCTCAGGAAACACACTCTCAGGAGAGGAAAATAAAGAGAAACCTCCTCTACAGCCCAGTGGCACAGGAGGGCATCCACCTTTTGGGTCGCCCAGTCTCTGCATGCTCTTACCCAGAGCAAAAACAAAGGTCTCAACTTGGGATGGCCCAGGGCATGAGGTGTGTGTGTGAATCTCATCTTGTAGATTCTTTTATACCATTAATTCCTCCCTGCACACCCTGCTATTATACAAATCATTTCCTTGCACTCTTAGTTTCAAAGCAGCTTCCTCTCTGTGGTCTCCAGCTGTGGAGCAAAACTTGCTTGGGGTTACTGGAAGCTGTATGGAATTCTTCTGTTTGGAAATGAGAGAGGTACCCATACGTATCAGACAAAACAGAAGAAAAGCTGAGTTAGATTATTTTTCTTTATTGTCTCTTAACAAAAACCCTGTGTTTTTCCTTCATCCCTAGGAGACAAATAGTTGGTGTTGTGGAACCAGTCCCTCATGATGAAACCTATTGCGACCCTGCAGCACTGTTCCATGTGGCCAATGATTACTCCTTCATAAGGTAGTGCAATGTTTAATTCATTACTTAAATTTTGGCTACAGAACAAGCCCCAGCTACCTGAAACATCTACTGGAAGGTCTCGGGACTGAATCTTATTTTGTTTAAAGTCCAGACTGAAGGTCATTGATTTCAATGGAAGTGTTTCTGTGGACATCAAGGGCTGCTCCACAATAATCTCTGAGCAGTGAGGAGGCTGCTGAGCTTCTTGCTGAGCAGAGAAGCTTCATGCTGCCATCAAACCAGCAGAAGCATTTCTATATGAGGTGTTTACCTCTTGGGGAGTCACAGTGCTTTGTGTCACTTGGGCCACGCACATGAAGCCCTGAAGCAACTAACTCTGAACATCCCTCTGTGTCCCATCCATTACATTTTAGAGGGTTCAGCCAAAGTGGAGAGCTGGGCTTAAAAACCTTACTCTCTCCTGTTTTTTGTGGCAACAAACAGATCTGGGGCTCTTCTGCTGCATTTGATCATGGCATTTTTTTAGATTCGAGCAAGCTTAGCCTATAATATCATCTGGCTTCTCTCCCTGCAGTGCAGCCCCCCACATAGGAGTGATGGCTGACACAGCAGAGCTTTTCGAAGGCCAAGGGCCTGCGGGCTTCCTTGCCAGACAACTAACAAAACCTGTACCTCCCTTTTCCTTGCCCTTCCTTTAGGTATTACACCCGGACCATCTATCAGTTCCAGTTTCAGGAGGCACTTTGCAAGGCAGCTAACCATACTGGCCCTCTTCACAAATGTGATATAACCAACTCCACTGCAGCTGGTGAGAAGCTGAGGTAATGAAGCAAATTTCTCACACGTGTAAATCAGAGTATAACAAAGCCTAAGTCATCCTCGAAAGCTTCTGGAGTTAATGAGGTTGCATCAAGGATGAACCGAGCTTGGAAATTTAGCGTGTATCTGCTCAGTTCATTTGGACAAGTTGACTAGATTTATGTACACTGATGTTCTAAACATTGAAGGTTTAATTAGTTGTTAATGGAAATAAAATATTTTTATTAATAGGAATGATAGGAGAAAAGAGGGAATTCAGAAGCAAATAAGAAAACTTTTATAGTGATCACAGAGTATTTTGCTATTCTAGATGGAATGTGGCAATAACATATATTACTTCTCATTTCACATACACAGACAATTGCTGTCATTAGGCAGATCCAAGCCCTGGACTGAAGCACTGGAAAGTGTAACAGGAGAGAAATACATGAATGCAACACCTTTGCTCCACTACTTCGAACCTTTATATGAATGGCTGAAAAAAAACAATTCTGGAAGATTCATTGGTTGGAAAACAGACTGGGCTCCATGTACGTATGGCTTGTGAGTGATTTAAGGACTCCTGTCAGTCCTCACAACTCTTGATTAGCAAAGTCCCTCTCTGTTGAAGGCTGTTGAAGGCTCTTCTCCATAGGGAAGAGGGTTATGGGAAATACAAACCAAGCAGTAAGTTTTACTCACAGGAAAATGGACTGGCTTCCTCATGGCCAGAGCTGAAGAAGTCAGCACAAGGTTTGTCAGAGCCCCACCCAGTTTTCAGAAATTGAGGTGGATTTGGGTTTTTTTTTGTCATAGAGGCAGCTCTCAGAGTGTGGGATGGCTGTACAAAAGGAAGAAAGATCAGAGGCTTGGACTTGTGTGGCACTTGCCTGAAAGCAGTGGACCTGTTTGGTAGGGCTGGCAACCACTGGTCCTGGGAGCCAGCAGACCCTGACCTGGGGGCATAGGGACAAACCAGGGCAAAAAAAATTAGTACTGTGTTTTTTTACTGTCATGTGTTAGTCAAAGATGGGAGCTCAAGGGGAGGAAAAGGAGAAAAATGCATTTTTCAGCCTATTGTGGAGACAATAATTGTTGAACCACTCAGGTTATATATGTGTAATCACTATCTGTACTTGAGAGTACCATAATTCTTACAATGCTGTGCTAGTCTCTAATGCTGGGATTCACCTAACCAGACCAACATCTGCATCTAAGCTGCTCCTCCCCAGTGGTGGGAAATAGGAATTTTTCTTCTGTCTGCTGCAAAGCCAGGCTTGGGGACTGAACAGCTCACATGCATGTTTGCAGTAGTGGTAACTGAAAGGAAACAAGATCAATCCCACCAAGATCTCTAGGAGGAGCAGGGGAGCCCATAAGGAAACTAGCCACCCCAGTGTTTCCCAGGGACAGACTTTCTGTTAATGCAGCTCTAACAAGGCCCTTGTTTCTTTTTAAACCAGATTCCAGTGATGCCATCAAAGTGCGCATCAGCCTGAAGTCAGCGCTGGGGGACCAGGCGGTGAGTGTGTTTGTGCTATGGCTCCCTTCCCATTGCTCAGGCAACAGGGATGGTGTACTAATGGCTCTCAGAAAATAAGGCAGGATATAGCTGATCTTTGTGTCTGAAGAGTGGCATCATCTCAGGTGAAAACTTATCACATACAAGATGTCTTGTCTGAGTTTCTGGTCAAGACTCCCCCTAGAATCAGTGAAGGGACTTTCTCCAGAAAGTGATCCCACCCATTTTAAGAGAGACATCTCAGCTAGATGAGTTACTCCATGGAGATACCAATCACAGTTATTCACCTGCTACAGGACAGGCCTGGAGGGCTAACATAGGGAAACCTGTAAGCCTGAAAAGGGCTGTGTTTTTCCCAGCTATGTTGATTTGTCTAATAAGTCCTCTACCTAATTTCTTCTAATATTAGTTATCGTGGCTATGGTGTCTGACTTCAGAAGTTATTACAGCCGCTACTTCACATTTAATGTGGGGCTAAAGCAGAGGGGTTGATTCCAACACTCTATTCTTAAATGCTCTTGACTTCAAACTAAAACACTGCTGTCAGCCTTTCTTTGTAGATTTTTCTTTGCAGATTTTTCTTTGCCTGTTTGCTGTAATCTTTCTGGGCCCTGATATATTCGACTGCCTCCCTGCCCTCCAACCCTTATGCAGAGACAGCTTTGTTATTGAGAGGGGGAGAGTGCAGTGCAGCTACTTCTCTTTCAGATGAGGAGAAGGGCTTTCATTCCCAAGAGCTTGTCTGCTTTTCCCAATTATACCAGCTGGTCCAATAAAATGTATTAGAGCAACCAAAAAAACTCATCAAAGCCAAAGATGGCTTTTACAATTTTAACAGAGCATTGGCTTAGCCCATCTGCTTAACCCAGGCTGAAAATTTGCTCCTTATTCTAGCTGTTCCTCTATATGCTAATCTCAGGGAGGCAGTGTAGAAGGCTTAAGTGGAGACACTTCATTCCTCTTAAGAGCCATTTTCACCTTGCAGAAAATTAGTAATTTTCCAAGAATGAGTATGTCATCCAGCAGGTCATTTAGACCTGCGTGTTGGAACCTATTGCACTAGCTAGGACACAATAACATGGGCTCATTTTTCATATGAATTGGTGCTCTTTCTTCTATCACTCTCTCATATGTAAGCCCTACTGGAGTTTTATTGCTTCCTAGACTGCTGAGTTGAGTTAGATACAATTCAAAACTGATATCAACAGCATGAAAAGGTTCCATATTAAAAGACATTTATTAGTCATTATGGTTAATGTTTAGCTTAATACCATTTTTATGCCTGCCTTTTGCCATCACAGTCTTTTGTTGTGCAATTGAGCAGCTGTAAAACAATCTCATACAGATTACTTAATTTGAATTCTTGTATGGACAGTAGGTTCTTAAACTCTGAAAAGCAAGCCATACATTTTCCTCTCAGAACCTGTCCACATCACCAACTTGCAAAAAACCTTTTCCATTCTGTTTCTTTCTGCCTCCCCATGATTTTCCCTTATGCTGGGCCCCTGGGGACATGACTGAATGCTGGTATGTCAGGAGCAGGTAGTGGTACATGCACGAACTGGCACAGAGAAAAGGCAGGGGGAATCTCGGTTAGGAATCTCAGCCCAGCTACACAGAGCAGTATGTTTTGGCTGCTTTACATGGCTCACAGTGCACAGAAGCTGTGAACCCAGTGCAATCGTTTGTCTAAGATGAATTTCAAGTTGCTTTGCACTGTTAGGGCAGTAGAAAGCATTCTGAGTATGCCGGTATGTATTTCTGCTCTGGAGAGAGCAGAAAGGGAACAATTCCCCCCTTGAGCAGAGGCAGAGCTGCGCTGGGGTGGCCGAGGGGGCAGCTGCAGCTCATGCCGGCAGTTCTGTGCCTCTCAGCTACAGATCTCGACCCTGGCTGCTACCAGCAGGAGAGTTTCAATAGCCCAAAGTTCTGGCAAATTAAGCATCCAGACTCATGGATGGGCTTAATGCCAGCTGTACCAGAGCGTGCGCTGCTGCAATTACCCTGCTAATTGTTTCCAGGCCAATGAGATTAGAGCTGCATCACTGGATCACCAGTGTAGCTGAAGAGTCTGAAACACCCATGGCTTTGCTTCATCTGGGGCTTTATGGAAGTGTCCTCCTAAAGGAACCTGCTACAGGATCCCCACTGAATCTCTTGGGTTATGTCTTATTTAAAATAAAAGTTTCCAGGAGGATCAGTCCACCAACCATCAGTCCTGAAAACAGGACTCCTCTTCAAGCATTAATTCAAAATTCCCCCACTGGATCAATGCCATACACGTGATTACATTGTAAAAGGCTGGCACACAAGACAGCATTAGGGAATGGAAAGCTGTCAGCCTGCAGGCATTTAGATGTATTTTACAATGAAAAATCCTTTTTGAATCAGAGGCCAGAGTTACACGGTCTTTCAAGTCACACGTGGGATATTGGAGGGAACACAGTAGGAAAGAGCAGAGGCACTTGGCAGAGTTTCTTTGTCTCTGAAAGCAAAGCAGCTTCTGTCACAAACAGCGTAAGGTGTGTTTCTGAGATGCCTAGGGAAGGAGTGTGGATAGTTTTTACTCAAACACAGATCAGAAGCCAGCCAGGTACTTCCCATCCACACAGCCCATAATGTCTGGGCATAAATAGAAATTTGAGAAACCCCCACGATAGCATCATAGGCTGTTATGGTGAACAGTGCCAGCTGCCGGAGACAGCAGAGGTAACAAGAAGTGCTTCAGTGCAGGGCTGTGAAAGCAGGAGAAAGCCAGGGGCATTTGCCCGGCAAAGGTGACTCAGCCTCAGCCCTTGCTGGTGGGAGCAGCCAGGGCTGGCACAACCCCAGCCCTCTGAATGCCACGGGGACTGCTCTGATTGCAGTGGCTTTGGGTCACCTGCACCTTTCTTTCCTGGGGCGTGATCCTGCATGGACTGACAAAACCAGGCTCTTTCTGCTCTTTCCTCCCCTGTATTTGTAGAATCACAGAATAGTTTCAGTTGTGAAGAACCTTTAAAGATCATCTAGTCCAGACCCCCTGCAATAAGCAAGGATATCTTCCATTAGATCAGGTTGCTCAGAGCCTCACCCAGACTGACCTTGAATGTTTCCAGGGACTGAGCATCCACCACCTCTCTAGGCAACCTGTCCCACTGCTTCGCCACCCTCACAGTAAAGAATTTCATCCAGTAACTAAATCAATTCTCTTTTAGTCTAAAAATTTTACTCTTTGTCCTATTGCAACAGACCCTACTAAAACGTTTATCCCTGGGTTTTTTTATGTTTATACATATTTCTCTCTCTTCATTTTATATCAGTATCAAGAGGAGGACAGGATTGAAAAATGTACCTGATTTTTATAAAGCCTGTTACAACAGAGCTGCCTTCTACCTACCACACCTTCCTGAATGATAATTAAGAAGGTCAGGAGCTGTGTAAAACTATCACTGACAGCATGTATAGGCATTCCTGCCCAGGTACCATAAACATAATCAAATCTAGGCCTTAGGGGGATAAAAAAAGTTGCCACAAGTTCAGTTGGGAATTTCCCCTTTGTGCACATTCACTGTTGCACAACAGACCAGGCTGAATTATCAGCTCCTGTGGTGTTTTTGCCCCCTGTACAGCTCTTAGTTCCTGCTTCAGAGAAGCTGTTTTTGACTTCCACTGCAAATAACTTTGGACTCATAAGGTAGGCCAGGAGAAACCTGCACACAGGCAGTACATTTTTTATATCACCTATGTATTCTCCAGGGAAAAACAAGAAATTGGTGCCTGCTGCAGAAATACAGATGCAATGAATTTTTTTACCAGAACAAACACCCCCAAAAAATCCCAGCTCATCAAGCAAATAAATGAGCCACCTTTGTATGACACCTCCACCTCAAATATTCTCCTCCTTAAAAGAACAGAATAAAAGAATCTAAATTATGAAATCATTAGACTTCAAAGAGAATTCACAATATTTGGTAGGAATAGTGTTGCTCCTGACGCCTTTTCTCCTTGTAAGGCAGGGAGATGTGCTGGCACTGCAGCATCTTCAGCAGCCCTATGTAAACTTAGCAGAAATTGCAGAGGGATACCATGATGTCTGGCAGCAGGGATGCCTGCTTGGTTATTCCCCTGCAGAGAGCCAAGATTAACAGAGCTAAAGTGTTTGGATAGGTTTCTTATGTGCTATAATGGTACAAATAAATAATACTGAAGTGCATGCCAAGCCTTACAATTGCTATTTCTTTTTATAATGATTTCTTAGTGTCAGATAACTTGCCGTCTCTGATGAATTTCTCTTGTGCTGTTTCTGCAGTATGAATGGGATGACAACGAGCTCTTCCTGTTCAAGTCATCCATCGCCTATGCCATGAGAAAATACTATGCAGAGGTGATGAAAGAGAAAGTTAACTTCCAGTGAGTGGCTTGCTTAATTATGCCAGCTTTGTCTACATTGCTTCTGGTTCACTAAACAGCATGGACTGGTGGAATTAATTGTGCCTTCTGTCAAATGTAAGGTGATAGCAAACAATGTCAAACACCACCTGGTTACAAAAGGCAAGATGCCAGCTTGGGTACATGGTGTCTTTTCGCTGAAGAGTCTGAAGTTTAGGAGTAATGTGCTAAAGTTAGATAAGAAGGCTTTGACTCCCACGACGTATGAGGAGTGCAGGTGAGCCTTGAGAAATTGTGCCCAACACCTGCATGGGAATATCAGGGAAGGTACATTGATTGGAAATAAAAATCTCTAGCAATGTATGTGTTTGATACTGGATATCCAAGAGGTTTTGGGCCAAGAAAAGATAAACGTGTTGATTAAAAAATACTAGAATTTGGTGCAGAGTTACTAATCTTATCTAGATTTAGTTACAAACACAAAATCTTTCACATGAAATTGATTTTGGTACGAAAACCAGTCCTTTTTATTAAGTATCTTCAAAAATTTCCAGAAGCTATCTACTTAAACTATTAGATATTATTCTATAGAACATCAGTCATGTAATATCTAGATATTACTTTATAGAACATCAGTCATGTTATATCTAGAATCTACTCCCAGAAGAAAATAAGGAAGAACTCTTTTTTTTTCCCACTCGGTACTTCATATATCACCTCATTCATGAGACCAACCCCAAACACTTTCTGTTCTGCAAGTGATTATGTGCTGAGGAAAATTACACCAAGGATTGTCTTAGGTACAGAGTAGATGTTCTCCAACTAAAGTTACAAATTAGCACATAAAAAAAGAAATTCTGTCAGGAAAATTGACTTCACTTCCTAGTTGATTTCACTAGAAAGTATTCCCTCAGCATAAACTAAGCCCCTGGTACTGCCAATCAAACAGAACTGTTCACTTGCCTGAATTTAAAGCTAATGTATCTTAATGAAAATAACCTTTCTCTTCTGTTCCTCCTTCAGGATTACAGACATTCATGTTGGGGAACAAACACAAAGGATCTCTTTCTACCTGACTGTCAGCATGCCAGGTAACATCAGTGATATTGTGCCCAAAGCTGATGTGGAAAATGCCATCAGGTGAGATTTTCCTCTCTGGGAAAAAAAAAGCCAACAAAACAACCAGACGAGAGGGTGGAAGGGGAAGCAGTGCTCAAGTCAGCTGAGACAGAAGGGATGACAAGGAAGTCAATTATGTAGTTAAAATAGAAATAGTGGGATGAGAGAAACTAGGATGAGAACTGTTATGATAGAAAGAAAACAGTCCATCTATCTGATGTGTCTTGGACAACAGCCAATGTAAAATGCTTCAGGGGGCATGTAAAATTGCCATAACACATCTCATTGCATCACACCTTGCCAGAAAATATCATTGCTCAGACTTTAACAGGAACTATGTTATATTCTGAAATACCGAATACAGTAGTGGTGTGTGCATGCACACGTGTTTTCTTCCTCTCAATAATGAAAATTCAGTGAAGGAATTATTGTTAGCAAGGATTCCAGAATAATGGTGTACTAGAAGGACAGCCAGATGTATTTGATTATACAGAAGAGGTCAGAGCAGGAGCTAGTTCCCACTTACAGGTCAATGAACAGCTCTTTTATAGCACAGTGTGACACCACTGTAAGTCATTGCTATAAAAATGATAAGTAAAACTGCAACTCTGCAGATGAACATGAATAATATACAGTGGGAAATGAAGAGGGCACAAATCTAAAAGCAGCAGCAACATGAAATGGAGTTGGGAAAGCAGTGAGACAAGTTGGTGAGCCAAGGAAGAAGAATATGCCTGTGAAAGTCACTGTCCAGTTAGCTCTCAATAGCAGATGTGGAAGTTTGGGGAAAAACAGGGCACAGAAGATACACCAAGGAAAGGGTGTTTAGGGCAGTGAAAAACACAAGATTCAAAACTGCAGAAAACTGTAGGGGGGAAACAGGTAAAAAAATGTCAAAGCTGTGGTTTTATGTCACACATCTAAGACACTTTTGGATAGCCAAAAAACTTAGGGTAAAGAGAATGAAAAGCAAAATGCCAATAGAGAGGGAGACCACAAGGCTGTTTGCCTCATTTTGATAAATGTTAAGACTGAGTTTAAGAGTCCGTACAGTGTCTTATCATGTCAGTGAAGCTGCAATAGGTTAAGGGTTTAAGTTACTGTGGTTGTCACTCACCACCCCGTGCCAGAAGCAATATACATTTAGCAGTACCTCCTGTGCAGCCTTTTCAATTGAGCACTTCAGAGGACGCTTGGCACACTAGAGATTTAGAAAACAACTGAAAACTTTCTTTTCTTCCAATAACTGTGTGAAACTCTTTGAATTTGCATTTGATGGCAGGATGTCTCGGGGACGAATCAATGAGGCTTTCAGGTTGGATGATAACACGCTGGAGTTTGTGGGCATACTTCCAACCCTGGCCGCACCTTATGAACCACCAGTCACCATCTGGTTAATTGTATTTGGGGTGGTCATTGGTCTGGTTGTCATTGGAGTTATTGCCTTGATCATCACTGGCCAAAGAGATCGCAAAAAGTGAGTAATATATTTTGATACTATGATTATGACGATTGGGAGATGTCCCAATAATTGAATCATCGGGATTCTTACAAATTGGGCTGCCAAGTCTAACTGAAACAAGCTAAAGAATGAAAGCTTATTATCCCTCTCCCATCAACAGGGATAGCTAAAGGTTCAGCCCCCTGCCTTTCACTGCACGACAGCTTTGGCAGCTCAGTGCAATTCCCCCATCATGAGCAGTTTAACCAAGGCAGCTGGATGCTGTGGCCACAGGGAGCTGCAGGGTGGCCAGGCTTCTGCCAACCCTGCTGCAAGGTGGATGGGATGTCCTGCTGGGAACACAGTGCCTTCTCTAACAGCAAAGTTGTCCACATTCATCAGCACCTCCAGTTTTCTATAATCTTATTGCAGGCTGTCCAGTAATGTCATTTTCCTTAAATATTGTTGCATTAACAGGAATAAAGCTTGATTGGTTTTCTATGTCTCTCCATTAATAGGGATTCCAAGAACACAGTAGTTTTGCTACAGTTCCTCTTTAAAGCCAACACAATTCTTTTTATATAAATATTCCCAGTTAAACACAGTATTATTGACATTGGGGGTTGATTGTGGGTATTCAGAAGGACTTGAACAGAACAGAGACCTCTACTATAAAATGAATTTTCCTTACAGGAGAGCAAGAGAAAGTAGAGTTGAAGCAGGATCAAACCCTGAAGCAGTGAACCCTTATGCTGAAGAGGGAAAAAGCAACCTGGGCTTTGAGCCATCTGAAGAGACACAAACATCATTTTGAAAGATGTGGGTACACTAAGGGTTTCTGGTTTTTTTTCATTTCACTTTTAACAATAGTGCCTAGCAAAGGACTAAAACGCTATGGGATGTCTTCAAACATAATGTCTTCTGGTTGACCATTAATCTACTGATTCATGGCCAGTATCATCTAAATCTGCTGTTTATGTGGTAACTAGAAAACATGCAAAAGTCGAAGATATATATGTCTTGTGGCTTTTCTATGAATTATGTACATAACATTACACACTCTTCGTGCTGCTTTTCATAAGTGTGCCAACTTCTCCTTGTTTCCTCCGTAATGAGATATGAAAGCTTGGAAGTATATAGCTGTATAGAGATCAATACACACATGAAAATAACTCATATACTCCTGAGGAACATCTTGATCTTTCCAGATGGAGACCTCAAAAGTGGATCTGATAGACAGTGAGGAAAAGAAAACCACCTGACCACCAGAAGAACTTTAGTGATGAAGAACTCAATTTGATATGAAACAACTGCAATTTTTGCACCTTCAAGAAATCTGTATCGATGCAAAATGGATACTGGATGAAGACTAACGAGTACTGGAACTTTATTAGGAAGTTGTAACATAAATTATTTTTCTAACTGTTTGCTTGATAAGTATTGTAGAGACCAAATAGCCCATGCTCTCTCAGAAAAAAAAAAAAAGTTAAAATATTGCTGTGTCATGTTGTCATTAAAAATGGAATAAAACTCCTTAATACTATATGATCAAATTTGTTGGGTTTTTTTTCTATATCTTAGTCATTGCTTTCACTGCTACAAATACTGCATTACAAATGCTGCATACAACAAATACAACTGTACTATTACATACAAGGGGCAGTAGATTCAGGTTTGGGATGTTGTGATTGCACATGAAAAATAAAACCTGTTCACAAGGAGGACAGTGCAGCACTAGAACAGGTTGCCTCTTCTATACTCTAGGAGAGGCTGTGGGATCTCCACATTTAGAAGTGTTTAGAGATCAGGTAGAAAAATGTATGGCAGATGGAGCAGTGAGGATAATCCCACTGCAAGGGAGAAATTTGGCTAGATGACCTCCAGAGGACCCTTTCACTCAGGTTTTTTATGATTCTAAGTCTAAGTCTAAGGTCCCATGCCATAGCTGCCACCTTGCCTGTATGTTTTTTCTGGACACACCAGGGTCACTGAAAGTCACAAGGATGTGATACTCAGTCCTGGATTGTGACAAAGAGCCAGTAGCAAACATGAACCTGCACGAAAAGTGTCCAGCAAATGCAGGGACTCCTAAAATCATGGGCCTCCAACATGATCAGAATCTGCAGAAAGCAGTCAAACATATATCTAAAAACATACAGCTGGACTATACAGGACCACAAAACACTATCATAATGCTCCGCATTCATTTCCTGTTTGAGACAAGACCCTTAAATGAAGCAGTTCAAAATGGTAGGCAGATGATACTGATTAACTGCAAACTAGACAGGAATGCAAAGGAATGAAAATACTTTTTCTTTGAAGTTGACTACCTATACCACATATTCTATTGCCTTAATAACCCCAAACTTTAGTCCTGTAGCTGAACTTTTGGGATAACTAATTCAAGTCTATGTGGTCTTCCTTCCTACTTACTGTGCAGTAACACAAAAAGGGAATGGCAAAGCCTGAAACAATGAAATAATGCAATTAGTCATGCCAGCCATCTTCAGATTGGTTGTTAAGATTAACTTTTCCATTATGACAAAGCCTTCATTTCAATCCAATTAATTTTAAAAGTTGTGTTATGAATCAAAAAACACCATTCACAATTGTCAACATATAAAGCCACTAAAAAAATACAGTGGGATGTTGGAAGAACATAAATAAAAAGACAACATTTATATGAAAAAGGTCAGCTACGTGCATTAGCCCCGCCCACAGCTCACACCCTCTGTGCTAGGGGCTCCCTCTGTCTCCTACTTTCTCTGTGTCTGTACTCCTTCCTGACCCTTTCTCTGGGTCAGCGCTCCCTGACCCAGCCTGGTCCTCAGGTAGCATCATACCATGCCCTATCTCTCCCTCCTGCATAGCCTCCCATGGCCCCCAGGCCTGCATAGATTCCCACAGTCATTTGCATGACCCCAAATGCTGCTTTGCCTCCAACACACACACAGCTCCCCAGGTAGGCAAGGATGTGCTCTCCAAGCCATCTTCCAGTGCTGGGACCAGGCAGTGCCAGCAAGCACAGTTAGCTCTAGCTGGCCAGAGACCTTCATTTTTTTCTCCCTTTTCCCCCTATGTCTGCCCCCTGGATTTCTTACTCCTTAGGTTCAGGTGAGCTTGAACCAGAGCTGCAGAGGGGTCCCTGCTAGGGCTGGGCCAGCTCCACCAGGGAAAGGGCAAACAGGCACCACTTGGACTCTTAGAGACACCGCATGCTGAACTAGCTCAAATATAAGGAGAGAGAAAAGGATTATTTTTTTCAGAGCTTACTTTATTTTAAACCTTCTTTATTTTATACATATTAGATCAGCGTTTTACAACTCTCTGTGTCTAAATGCCTCTGTCATAATTATGTAGCTTCAGATGCTTCTGGTATCTCTAGATTTGCTGAAGTTAGCACTAATTTTTGTAGTGCTATGCACATTTGAAAGTTAGGTGTTCTTATTTAAATGCTAACATGAGGAGCCGAATTTCAGATCCTCAGTAGTAAAATATTTGGCTAAGCAATTATATTAATAGTATTTTCAGTTATCTTCAAATTTTTGCTTTTCAGGTTTTATAGCGAACAGCAAATTTACCATTTACTATTGCAATTACTATTTTTCTCCTTTACCTGTAGCAGAAAGCAATAACACTCTAGTAGATGCCACATATGTTGCTAAATTGCAAATATCCTTGATACGTAGCTCAGAATGAATTCCAAATCAAATGTACACCCTGAGGGCCAAAACTAAAGTCAATAATACTGGTGAGAAAACAGATATAATATTTCACCAGTGGTAATTTCTAAGTAATTGAAAGTGAGACTATATCTATTTATGTCGCTGTCACTTGCAGCAGTTCTAAGTTTGACTTCAGGTGTCAACTTCAAGTGATTATGAAGAAAAAACACATTCACATGAGTTATGATAATCAGAAAACCTAAAAAGCATGTATTTCCCTGTTTACATTACCAGTTAAGGCCAAATAATGACAGCTTGGAAGCACTGAAGGAGTGCACATAATTGGTATGTATACATCTCAGTGCCTGAGAATTCTTCTGAAAAAATGCTAACAAAATGAATTATATTCTTCCACAGTATCCTTCCAAATTCTGCCACCCACAGAGTGTCACGAAAGCTTTCTCCATATGCTTCTTGGTCAACTCCCTGATTAAATGAGAAGAACACTAATATATAGCATACTAGGCATGGCTAATGTCAGGCAGATTTCAGATGTAGCTCTCATACAGAAGGGAGGTGATATGGAACCAGTATGCACAGTCATCTGTTTCTGAATCTTCTTTTTCAACCTCTGTTGCCTTTTCTCAATGCCTTAAAAAATGGTAAGAGCTGATAAAAAGCTGATAAAAGCTGAAGCGAAGATGATGGATATAGTTGTTTCATTTTAAAATAATTCAAGTACTGTAATTTGCATTGGTTTCTCTTGATTTTAGCATGCAAAAATTTGTAGACAGTGATGTTGCTATGAATTTCTGCATGCTAAAATAAAATTAAAGTTACTTTTTATATATATCTTATGTTGTGATAATTTAATTTGCTTTACTTGCACTAACATGCCCTCAAATATAAGTCACTTTTCTCATTTTCCTGACAATTATATAAAAAAACCCAGTAAAACATCATGGTCATTTCATGGTATCATCAATAATGTGTAAAACAGTTCTTTGTTGCTGGTGAGAAACAAGTCATGGTCTACAGACAGGTGATTAAAATTTACATGAAGAGGAACAATAAATCAGGATCATTTTTGGCAAAAAAGATGCAGATCTCTCAAAATAAAATGAGCATGATCAGCATTTGACTCACAGCTCCTAGACTCATGGGTGGGGTAACACATTTCTTCTCCTTCTAAGGGCAGAGTTATTTTACACCTTAGCTGTCTAAAAAGGTGGAGGTCTCTTCTACATCTGCTGTTTAAGATCTCTGTATAGGAAGGCAAATATCTTTTATTCTGTGGTGGCTAAGAGAGAAAGGACAAATGACCATGGAGATGTACCAGCAATGGTCCTGTAATCATGGAAGAAATTTGGACAGTTAGTTTAGCTCAGTCACAATTTTTAATCAATTAAAATTAGGTGAGAAGAATCTCATCATGTTTATTTTGTTGATGTTGAAGGGTATTATGATTAAATACACGCTTCTGAAATGAAGTCAATCTTCCTTTATGACCTGTTTCCTGTATTGACAATTTCCTGAGCTAGATATGATATAGAATGTTCTACATACAAGCAGTGGCTTTTATAAAGGATATTTTTCCCTGTGAAATTCAGTTCAGCTGTCAGCAGGGACTCCTAGTGGTTCCTATTATTTTGTTTTCTCCAGTTTGTATGAGCAGATATACATACCTCATTCCAGCATTTGTTCATTATCTAGTAGAGGGTGTTTGAAACCTGTTGTGGTCTATAAAATCTGTATCCATGAGAAACTTTCTCAATCACTGGCATACTATATTAAAGCTCATAGGGCTGCTTTCCCAAAGTGAACACCTCCCACATTAAGACATGAAATGAAAGTCAAGAAATGCAAGGTAAGTCCCTTTTCACAGAACAAGATACACATGCAAGATACAACTGATCAGACTCAGAGAATATTGTCCAAAGAAAAGTATCGAGGTCACTGAAAAGTGTGATTCTATACACAAATGTAAAACAACTCCTACTGCAGGGGAAGATGACGTTAGGTTATAAAGTCAGCTATAAAATATATTTAATGTGGACAATGATGGACTGAATTTTTTACAGAATATGCGTAAACATCTTCTTATATATGCCTGTGTGCGCACAGAGAGGGAAGGAAAAACAAAATGACAACTATAGGTATCCATGTTTTTATAAAATAATAAGAAAAAGTTTACTGTGTTTTCTGAGTGGGACATACCCCTTTGGTATCAGAAAGTTTTCCAAATACTTTAAAGTGTCAGCTGCACATACCTTTAAAAACTAGTTATGCTGAAGCAATAGAAACACTGGATAATACCATAATCATCAATTCATAATTAAAGCTTTTCAAGAAACAATTTTGGTTGTAACTGGACATATGTGAGACTCATGCCTACCCTAAAGTAAAAAACAAATGGTGAAATATTTATTTTAAAATAATATATAATACTAGCTGCATTTTTTTTTCTTAGAAATTTTTGGGATCTTTGACTTCCCTCCAGCTTGAAGACTGGAGCATTGTAGTGTCACAGTGAGATCAGAATAAAATGGAACCTGAATCCCAGCTTTCCTTGATGAGAACATTAAAACCCCCAAGATTCTTTCTTTGACATCTGCTTTTGGGATATGAATACATCAGTTCACTTTTTAAAGACTGATTAATTAATAACAACCAAACAAAAACTGACAGATCCCACTCTCCCCTTGCTTCCACTGCATCAATGGATAGTGTTAAAATGAGAAAAAAATCTTCTACGGAAAAATAACATTTCTCATTGCAGTTAATACCAATATTGAAGTTAATGACAGTAAAGCCTGGGGCCAGAATTTAATCGATAAGAGCAAAAAGAAAACATTATCACCAGAAAATCCAACTTCTGATATAATTGTATAAATGTATAAACAACTTGTAAAGGGCATGAAGGAACTCTTTCTCTGCCAGAGTCATTAATACTGGGAGACTAGCTGAGGTTAAAGATAAGAAGCAGCCCAGCATTTGGAAACACTTCTATCTGCTTTATTCACTATTGTTCAATGTCAAGAACAGTGGGTTGCCAATCTTTCATCAACTTGACAGCTGCCAAAATTTTCCTGCTGGAGGAGCAGACCCAGATAAGTGGAATTCAAGCCTGTTCACAAAAGGTTCCCTTTCCTTTGACACCTGCTGCAGACTTTAAGAAACACTGAACAGACCCAGGGATTTGTAAATCATAGCTTGAAACCACTGAAGTAGAAGTTCAAATGTTCAAAATTCCCGGCTAGAAAGTGATCTGCAAACAGATATACTTTTTGCTGAGATACAGAGTCCCAGCTCACACAGACTGTCTCCCACAGATGGCTTATGTACAGAGTCCACTCTGACCTCTGGGACAAACAGAAAAGCCCTTTTGACTTGGGCAGCACTGATTTATGGTCTAAAGACACCAAAGATTACACTTGATCTCCACTGCCAAAATTTACTTTACTATATTAAACACACATGTAGCAAATGGGGAGTGGGCAGAGTTTCTATTTGCCTTAAAGAAAAATCTAAGGGCTAAAAAATTCCAAATAGGATAGGGCTTGTTTGCATAAAAATATTAAACAAGAACACAAGCTGTAACTGCTTTTTACAATCTTTCAGTGTGTTAAATGTCTAGAATTTCTGCTTAATAAGCTGATGAAATCCAAATGTAATGCCATATATACATACAAATTCATGTGTCAAATTCCATACGTACCAAAGCCCCATACATCTGACTTTGTGTAATGAAAAACTTTGGATGCTGACCACTTCACTGGAAACTTGGTTCCTAGAGAATTTATATGCAGATCATCCAGAACATATCCACAAGACAAGAACCAAACTTGGTTGTGATTGAGTTACAGTGAAAAACTTTACTGCTTCTTTCTTGTACATCACAATGTTCCTAAGAAAAGCCTAGGCAGAATCTTAAATTTCCAAAGAATACCTCATAGAGGCATTAGCTATAATCTAGAACAGATCATTGCTACCAACTTACTAGAGAAATAACTCAGAATCATAGAAACACCTGTTGTCAGGCCATCTAGCCTGGCCTCCTGGCCTCCTGCTCAAATAGCATGAGAGCAGGTCAGCCATGACTCTGTGTTGCTAAGTCTTAAAAGCCTCCAAAGATTACCATCTTGTAGTCTCCCTGACCAGCACATTTCACTGTTCCATCACTTTCCTGGAAAAACAACTTCTCTTACTATCCAGCTTGAAGTTCCTGAGCTGCAGCCTGTGGCCTATATCTGCTGTTATATCACCTGGCACAGATAAGACTTATTTGGCTCCATTGGCTTTGTAACTGTAAGTAGTTACAGGCCGCTTTTAGATACCCTCTTATCCTCCTCTTCGCCAGGCTAAGCAGCTTGCTCCCTTCAGCCTGTTCTCAGAGGACATGCTCTGTAAGCTGCTCACCCTTGCCATTGAGGCAGCTATTAATCACTTTATCTGATTAAGCTATTTGGTCCCCAAATTAGGTGAAAACCTCATACTCAAAATAAACTTTGAGATTTCTTTACAAACATGACTAGTGAAACCTCTCAGCTGCGATTTGCCTTTAAAACTTAACTTTTTGAGACAGCAGAGTGACCCTATTCTTCTTCTAAAATGTCTTACAGTCATTAATGGAAAGGAGACACAAAGAGCTGTATCACACTCTTTGGTTTAACTTTCCTATCAGCCAGCTGATCAATGCCAGTAAACTAACATCAGAGCTTCACTAGGCTCCCAGTTCTCTCACTTACCGAGTCATCTTAAAGTCAGATACTTTCACAGTAATTTTGCTGTCAACCAAACAGTTCCTAGCAGCCTTTATTGGAGAAATGAGATGAGGTGAATGAAAAGAACCTAAAGAGGAGCAAATAACATCAGGTATTTGGTGTTTGCTAATAATGTCTGCCCTCTAGCATTTCAGTGAATAATGACACCTTTGATTGACACAATTAAGTTTGAAACGGTAAGGGAACAGTAAGTGGCTCTCTTGTTTCACTTTTTGACTATTGATTGAAAAACATTCTGTACCATTATCCCAGCTTTACAAATAAGGACTTTGAGGGATGAGGAAACAGAGGTGAGAAATCCACATTCACCTAGAAAAACAGCAACAGAGCCAGGAACTAAACTCTGTCTTTCAAACGGCTTCCTAACCTGGGCCCTTTTCAGTCGTCTCAGAATTTACCAAGGCATCAAAAAGTGGAAAACATTGATTGGATTATTTACAATGCACTAAAAACAGAGTGGAGCAATGAAAGGGGACTGTAACAGCTTGATTTATGAAAAGTTCAATAGAAGCCTAGTTGTGTAAATGATCACTTGAGAACATTTATCTAAGGCTGTATTCTCTGCATGCATGCTCATTAACTTCTGTGATACTGTTTGCATCTACAGTTTTCAATCTGAAATCAAGCTCCAGTTTTATATCTGTTTTCCCATGGTTTCCCATGTTTTCAGGAAACTGACTTTAATATAAACTTGAATTCTGCTACTCAAGTTGTCTGATATTCCTGATTTCTGAATTGAGCTGTGAAAATTGGTGAGGTATGGATTTAACAACTGTGTTTACAAATAAAGACAATTCTTTGAAAGCATCAACAAGACAGCTAAAATGAAACTAAAATTCCATTTCCCCATTGGAAAATGAAACAAGTCTGTAACATAAATAGTCAAAAATCTTCTAACATTTTTATCTAGAGTTAGAAGGCAAAATATTGCTACTGACTCTGAAGCACAATGCACCAGGAATTTGGTTAGGTTCACTGTTAATAGGCCAATAAAATAACAGCTTATTTCCCCAAAAAATGGCACCATTCTTGAAAGGTAAGTTTTGCATAAACTTTAGGTACAAGTCCATTAAAGGACTGATCCCCTAATCAAAAGCAACTTGAAATACTTGCTTGAAAACTGGCAGATAAATGTATTTTAAAGAGCTGGGCAGTTGCAGACTTTCAAGTTCTGTTCCTGCTTGTAATGCACCAAATTCCAGTTTATCCTAGTAGCGTTCACACTCGTTTAATTTTAGCACAAATAGTTCCCAATTAGATGAATCCCTAAATCATTAGAAACAATGTAAGGGACCCAAATCTTTAACATTGCATTTCTTTCTCCTGGAGGACTACAGCATCATTGGACAGAACCCTTTATTTCAGTGGGCAAATTTTCCAGTTGGATGTCTGTGCTGTGTACACATTAATCCTTGAGCCCATAAATGCAGGCAGCACAGTATGCAGTGCTCTAGAACCTGTCAGCTCTGCCCTGAAGCAGAGCACATTAGGGTATATAATAGCCTGAGTTGGAAGGGACCCACATGGGCAGTGCTGTTTACATGTGACTTTAGTGCTGCTTCTCCAGAGCTGCCTTGTATTGAGCCAGCTTTGTGTCTCTGTTCAGCACACCACAATGCTTTTTGGGGTGAGTGCCAACAGAGCCAGTGCATCTGTGGCTGATACTGAGGCGTAGAACTGACTAATGTCGGGTCATGCCCCTGCCTTCCCTGTTCCGCTTCTCCTGTGGGATAGATTACCAAGTCTCCATGTATGAACTGACAGATCTCCAGAAATGCCACAGCATCACAAAGATCATAACATACTTTCAAAAAAGTTAAAGGGTAGGAAGGGTTCCTTTCCATGACTCCTTAGGTGGCTGATCAAATAGTCATTAGGCATGTATTCAGTCACTAAATAGGCAGGATATAATTTTGAGCATACATTGTACAATCTAAAGTGTTTGGGATTATTAATTTTCCTGAAATAAAGAAAAAAACAATTAAGAAATAGATATTATTGTACATTTCTCTAAGTTTTGTTCTTCAAATATCAATATAATGTATTGAAAGAAATTATTGAAACTGGATACAGTCCCAGTTCAGCCTTCAAATACTCCATTTCAAGAAGGACTGAGTGTCCTTCATCTTATTATTTTGAAACTTGGTATTGATGAAAACCAAAAGACAACTCAGCATGGATGAAAAGACAGTGTTGTAGCCAAAACCTGAAATAGGATTTAGCAGCACAAAAGTGTGGCCTTACAAAATTTTCACATTCAGAATCCAGATCCTATCAACTAGTTAATTGTCAGGAATGTAGTGCCTTCTTTCAGGATACAGGATATCCAAAATATTCTTGAATTCATATGCTTCAACTATCATCTTGTGGGACTTCATTGGAAATTCTAACATCTTTAACTCTTTGGAGTCAGAGACTGAAACTTCAAGTCCCATGTTTTTGTTTCTGGTGTTTCCTGGTTATTTGTCAGTCTCTCATTCCTACCTGTGGGATCTCATTCCTGCCTGTGGGATTGCAGGAACAGCTTTCTAACTGTTTATGTATAAATGCTAATGAAGCATAGTTTTACGTGGCATATGTGAAAGCTCTGAAATTATGGAAGAGATGTTAATTGAAAACTTTGTATATGACCCTATCGATCTTTGAAAGTTCCTTTGATAATACTTCAAATATCCTTTGTGACTCCTTTTAGCCTGTACTCACCATTACTTAATGCTATTTATAAGAAGAACTCTTTCCTGTGTGTGTTATACATTACTGATTAATGTTTGGAGAGATCATTATTTCCAAATAATTAAGCAATGCCATAGCTTACATCATGGCCTGAACTTCTATGAGTTCATCTTCTGCTCCCTCTTTAATCCTCCTTATAGCCGCTTCATATTTTTCCTTCCACTTTCCCTGAAGTACCACTCCAAACTGAGCACTCTCTAGCTCTCTCAACAGGACAATTTTTTCTCATTTCAACTCCCAGATTCCTAGTGGGGAAAAAAAATTTCTTTAGTGAAAAAACAACAAACAATGGACAAATGCAGGTGCAGTATCACTCCCAGGCAATGCTGTTTTCTCTGGAGAGTTGCAGCACTGGAGTAACATACCTGTCTCTCAGCTTTGTGTTTGAGTTATGGAAACTTCCTATGAGTGTTGTTTGCTACTGCTTAAATTTAAACCTTACATCTATAGATTTGAACAAGATTTATGCATGAAATCACAATGTGTTTTCATACAGGATATCGGAGAACAAATATTACTGTGCCAGGTGATGTGGCAAGGGAAAGAATGGCCATGGCTCAGATGGGCTGGGGAAGGAACCTTGCAAGGACTTGCACAGTTGATATAAGACGTGGCATAAAATGCCTTAAAAAGGGCACAACATAAAAGTTGCTACAAAATGCCTTTGTATAAAATGCCCCGAATGTGGACAAAATGCACTTGTAGGAAGGGATACACTATTTCATAGAACCATAAAATCTCAATGCTACACTCTACAAGAGAAAATTACAGAAGGAACTACTGACTGAAAGACCAATTTTACCAAATTCTCCCATTGCCTCTTGCATGGACAAGCAGAAATGGCCACCAAACAAAGATTCTGTAACCTCCTGACTGTAACCTGCAAGACTGAAAGCAGTGAGGGTCATTGTTCTCTGGTTATTCTTTTCTTGGTGGCCAAGACACCAGTTTCAAAAAAGAAAATGATCTTCATACAATTTCCTGATGAAGCTCTGGTTGACCTTATTTATTTTTGTAGATACTGCATACTGGAACCTTGTCACGTATTTATAAAGAAAAACTGTTAAAGGTCACGGGATATACATGGGTTTTCTGAAATAAAAGAAAATAAAGGGAAACAAATACCTCCCTCTCCCTACCATATTACAACCATCCAGGTAATGACAGAGTCAATATTCAATATTCAGCAGCTGCTGCATCGTGACACCAGATTGAAAATTTTCTGTGCTTAAGGGCTGTTTCAGCAGACAAGATGGGGTAATTCAATACCAAAAAACCATTGTACAGCAAAGTTAAGCAACTACATTGATTGTGAATATGTTAGATCAAGTTACACCCAAACTCTTCCAAAAGATGGCTCAGTATTTGGAACGTTCAGTATTGGAAGAGATTCACCATAATGCTGAGAAGGCCAGACGCCTAAGCCAAAACCAATCAAGTAGAAAGAGTACATAGGATAACTGGTGAAGTTGTGCTGATGGTAGTGTATAAGTTTGGGAATTGATTCAAAACAATAATTTTCAGCAAGGTAATACTTGTGCTCAGGGGTTTTATACACATGTAATATTTGACTGTTCCTTTTTTACTTATTAAAAACATCACAACATGCAGTATATGTCAAGACCTTGCAAAGTGCCTTCCAGTCCAAGTGTTAATAGATTAGTTGTCATGAGCTGCAACACTTCAACTGGCCAAATAACAAAATATGTAGTAGATGTCTCCAGGAAAATTGTTACATTTGCCTCAGCCTACTTTCCTCTCCTTAGCCCCTCCTGGCTATGCAGTACAGGTTCAACCCATTGGACACTTCTGTGATACACTTTAATGTAGTCTGATGGTTAGGAGTTGTCTCCCAACAGTTACATCTTAAGCAAAAGACTTTCGTATTCTGCCCCTGCAATAGGTCTTACATCCAATTTGGAACATCTTCCCTTCCCCTACTCCTTCCCATTCCCTCTCCCATTCCCTTTTCCATTCTCTTCCTTCTCTCTCACACTTGAATCTCTGCTGTTCCCCTGGATTATGTGCCTGTTACACGGCATTGTTCAGATGAGAAGATTCTGGACCTCTGTTCCCCCATTCAGGGAGCCACTGTCATCTATGAATTCAAAGAACCAATATGAGCTGAATGTACCCAAGGTTCATTTTTTAACACAATGTAGAGATTGCTGTTGACCTGTCACAGCAAGCAGCATGTCCATAGCATGGTCATATAAATGTTACACTTTCTTGGGGTATTCACTCAGGAACCTTGCTGAATACAGACGTAATACACATTCCTGCTTTGTAATACATTTGGCTAAACTTCAAACGATAAAAGCACCTTCTTTTCCCCAGTTAAATAAAAAAAAAAAATTAAAAAAAGAATGAATAATTTCCAAGAAGCAACAAGGTTGGGATTAATTTCAGTGAACTTTAGCCTTTTACACTGTAATGTCCAGAAAGGAGACATGAGTCATCTGAACTCCTTTAAGGACTTCATTAGAACAAGATGAATAATGCATGAGAAATCTTTCTTTCCAGTAAAAAGAGGGTTTAGGTAACAGGTTGTGGTATCCCACTATAAATATTTAAAATTAGGTGAGGTCTACTCCAGCCCAGACATGAAGCCAGTCATCTGCAATTCTGTTTTGGTGCAGATTTATAACTGGGGAGATTGAGAGTTGTTAACCCCATCTCCTTCCTCATGTCCCTTCCAGAGGCTCTATGTGTCATAAGACCCTAACACTGACACACACATATCCTATCTGAAAAAGAGTTCTACCCACCACACTCAGTTCCTTTACATGAAGAATTACACTGATATATTTTTTATTGCCAAAGTATTTCTGCATTACTGAGCAAATAAAAAGATTTTCACTGCACTCTATTATAGTTGCACTATTTTTAGTCTATGTGGTACTGTAGTCTTAACTTTTACTCTCCAGTTTTACTTCTGTTAATGATTACCATACTGGGCTGGAAATTCTGACTTTCAGAGTTCATTAAACAGCTACACCTCTATATTAAAAGGAGGAGTAAAAGAAGACATCTAGAGGTTCACTTCTGTGAAGTTTGAAGGAAATTTCATGTCCCCTAAGTTAACTGGACTAAGTGTTATCCAGCACACTTGGGGACTGAAACACAACTGCCTTTCTCCAGAGTTCATCCACACCTGACTTCCATTCCTGAACCTATGGTGCAGGTCCAAGGGAAAGGACACTGAGTCAAGGCTCCCAAAGGATCATGTTTCATCAAAGTTGTTAGTGGCTGGGTACCGATAACACTGAGTGTGAGAAAGTAGCAAGCCACAAGAGGAAAATGTTTACACAGCACATCCAAGAGGAAAAAATGTGTGAGGCTGTGTCTCCTCCAGGAAAGTATATGGACAAGTATTTCTGCAGTCATCTGCTTGTACCCCTGACTATGGTGCTATCCATCCTGGTTCCTAGTCAGCTGCATCCAGTCAAGACTCAGTGAGCATAACACTGAGTTTGCTCAGGGTTGTGTTCCTGTCTGAGTGAGCTGTAAAACTACCACTGAGGATTCCTCTACACTCATCTGCAGAAAAAACCGCACTGGAGCAAATAACACAGGACTAACAAAAGGGAAAAACAGAGCTTTGAGGGGAAATGCACTCAGTGTGGCTTTGTTCCAAGCCTATTTTAGAGGTGAGTTGTTTGCTCATTTATGTGGAAGAGGCATTTTTTGAAATCTGTTTATCCATACCAAGTTAGGACAAGGATTTCTAGCACTTTATAATACTACAGCTATTTGAAGAGCATCAGCATCCTCTAGCTACACTGTATAGCAAAGACAACAGACACAGCAACATTTCTGTGGTTGTTGATATACAAACAATAAAGAATGTGTAGGACTTTCAGACAGAGCAGCTACTCAGGCAGATGGAGACAGACTTTGTACAAGGCCTATTGTAACAGGACAAGGAGTAATGGTTTTAAAGTGAAAGTTGGTAGATTTTGACTGGACACAAGGAAGATATTTTTCATGGGGAGGTTGGTGAGACACTGGAACAGGTTGCGCAGAGAAGTTTTGGATCTCCCGTCTCTGGAAGTATTCAGTCTTGTTAGATGGGGCTTTGAGCAACCTGATCTAGTGAAAAATGTCCCTGCCCACGGCAGGGACTAGATGATCTTTAAGGTCCCATCCAACACAAACCATTATAAGATTTGATGATTCTATGAAAAATTCCTTCCTTGGGTCAAAAGTCATGCTACATGTATTTTTTGAGTAGTTATGCTGTGGTCAAGATGAGTATTTAAAAAATGTGAGACATATGTAATTGTCTGAATTTTTTAATCACTTGGTAAATACTTAAAAAATCTTTCTCCTCCACTGTGCAATGTGTTAGAAAGCCAAATATTCTCTGTGCATGCTGTAACAGGCAATGAAACTACATATGCCTTTAGTGACCTTATGCAGAGATTGCATCTACATTTTCAAAATGTACATGGAAACATTCCAAAACTGCACAACACTAGACTTTACAAATAAATGTTCTTAGCATGACAGACAACAGGAGTCCATGTGGCAGAAAAAGAAACCTCTAAAATAACCTCTTGTACAGAAATAATGATGATTCGTATTTATGGTTCCTTTCACAGAATACTATAAAAGTAGAGATTTTTTAAGGAAATCTCTGAATCTTCTCCAGTATGGTTTATTATGAGACAATATGTTATATTTCTGTGAATTTTTCATTCAAATAGCTTGGCATACATTTAATGCTTACAATGTCACGTCATCTTACTAAAAAGGGAAATATGGATCTGATGTCTCACTTTGACAGACCTGGACTCCCTTTATCCTGTACCAGACTACTCACAGACATACAAAGGCCCAGGAGTGCTAGGAAGGGTGATTTAATGCTGAAATAAGAGTACAAAAATTGAAATACCAGCATCACTGAAGTCAGGGACAAAACCCTTGACTTGATTTAAATGAAACCAGCATGTTTTTCCCATGAATGTATGAGACAAGAAGACAAATCGTATCTGATTTTATACATTTCAGGAAACCTTATGCTTAGTACTGAGAATGTTATTGAAAACGAAACATAATCCAGAATAACTGCCTAATCTTTGCTAGGCTAGTGTGGAAAACATTCAAGCAGTGGATGGCTGCGTATTGATTAACCTGGGCTTATCATCATTCAGAAACAGCTTTCTCAAGTAAGTGCTCAATACAAATCCTTTATTCCCACAAAATAAATAGTTCACAGTTTAGCTATTGTACATGACTGCATCTTAAATTTGGTCACTTAGGAAAAGGGATTAAACAGAAAGTCACTTTTCAGAATGCCACTAACAGAAATGCTCATGGTTAAAACATTCCTGCTTTTACTTACCACACAGAAAAACACAGAAGCAATTTGTTTGAGAAAATTACATTTCAGTGGAGTACTCTTTCTGCTAGTCATTGAAATGGTTTCTTCCTCCGTGGCTGGTTTCATGTTATGGAAGGTTGGAGTAGCTGTTCAACAATATCATTACATTCTGTCTCAGTCGCTGTGATGAAGGATGCCAGAGAATAATGGATGCCAGCAAACTGTCCAAGATCGAACACAGAGTCAATAGGCAAGCTCAGCACTCTTCCTGACACAATGCCAGATGAAACTGAGAAGCTAAACTAAGTGAACACCGACAGCTGAGCTACCACTTACAGCAGTTGGTAGCATGGCATGATGGATTAAGTTATGGGGGCCAACAGACATCTGTAGTTGTAAGGTGGTGGGCTGCATGTTGTGCCTATCAGAAAAATAAACGAGAGAAATAAATTGTATATTTGAGTACGGATGGACAAAGAAAGGAATCTTTAACATAGATCTCAGTAGCAGAAGAAGAAAACTGAGAGTTCATTAAAACAGGAGAAACATGACTCCTGATATTCGTTCCTGTTACATTCAAGAAAGGAAGATCGTTCTTTTTTTCAAGCAGAATTTAAAGCTTTTGTTAAGATGTATATGTAACTTGTCCTTACAGAAGCAATACTGCAAAAGTCTCAGTTTCTCAACCCAAAGGGAAAAACCCGTAAATGTCCCTCCTTTTTCTAGATTCCCTCTGCTTTTTTATTCATGATAGAGCCCTCTGCTCAGGCTCTATAAGGCTCTGTATTGTATGTTTTTACATAATCATAAGTGAGGGCATTCAGGTCCATATCTCAGCTTACCAATTTACTATTTTCTTCAAGTTGCTGAGGTTGTGTGCTGCTTTCTTCATCCAGAACAGTGTGTGATCTCCTTAGTTATAAACTGCAAACACTTTATGTCAAGTTAAGGTTGCTTTATTTGTTGGTTTTCTTACAGCTGTAACAGTAGAAAAGTAATTTCAGTCTGTTCCAAAGTAATTTGGGCATCCCTATCTCAAAAATTCTTCCCTTCCACACTTCTATCAAGTACATAAAATCAAACTCATCTAGTATTAATCATGAGACAGACAAGGAATTTTATCTCTTCCAGACAACTCCTGTTTGTTGCACTGCCTTCACCTCCAGTACCTCCTAAAACCATTTCTCATTTAATGACTTGGGAAGAGGTGCTTTTTTCTGCTCCAGCTGGATATTAATGAAAAATATCTTCAGTTGCTTAAGAAGATTTCTCTGCTTGTAAAACTCAAAAAGAATAATTAAACCCTATGCAGGATGGGGCTGCCCTGTCTTTGTGCAAAAGTATTACTAAAGCTGAGGAGAGACTGATGTGATAAGGGATTTGCACTGCAGCACTTCACACTGGTCTCCCACGGTGTCACTGCTATTGCAACTGTGATGGTGGTGGTCTAAGGAAGGTTTGTGCATACACGAGAGACAACATTTGTTAGGAGAGATTTTATCTTTTTGTCACTTAAACTAAATACTGGAAAAAAATGGAGAGCTTCTGTGTACACAAGCCCTTCTTCAGGCACATACAAAAATTAAGGGCACTGAATACTGTCTTAGCTATTATACTAGGCAGTGACTGCTGTAAATTTTATTCAACCTGCCAGCCAAGGATGGTAATGAAAATGGAGTTGTACAGAGACAACGAGGCTTTTAGAGTAATGTGTAAAAGTTACCAAGGTAATTCCAACATAGGTCCTGAAAGACACCAGGACTGCCTGCAGTCTTGTCTTCAAAGATGAGCTATGTGGAAGACCATGGTCATGGAACAAAAGCATTCTGCAGGGCATACTTACCCTTCCCAATCCATTATTTTTCACCAGTCAGAATATTTTTCTTGTGATACACAGTATTTATTGCTTCTGACAAGCTGGATAGCTGAATTACCTTCAGGTTTGTAGTTGCCTTGGGCCACAGCCACATTCAGGACTGACTTCTCTGGTGATAGTCTCTGGGGCAGGCTTCCACGCTTCCGTTTTTGAAGACATAGGAAATAAATGATAAGGAGATGTAGAACAGGCTACAGTAAGAAATAACACATTTATGTGATCAGTTATATCTTGGACATTTATAATGATATTAGGCAAATTAATCAAAGCTCAGAAGCTCAAGGCACAGACAGGCAGTTTTTCCTCATCCATTTAAAAGGACAGCCTAGACACTGTTGTCCACATTTGAGAGACAGGTGAGAACAGAGCCAAGTTCTGTGATAATGACACCAGCAGCAATTAACTCTGAGTGGAGGCTGACACTGCTGTAATAGGAAGCTCTCATTACCAGAATTACATGATAGACCTGACTTGTATCAAAATCCTGACACCTCTCTGGAGCTGATACTACTTAATGAACAGTTGCAATTCCTGTGCTTTGGACACCACTTGACCAAGTTGTTTTTTACTGTAACTAATGTCCTGTTGTACCAAAAGATCCCATCACAGTATTTTAAAAATAACTTCGAGGTTCTTTTTAATGGTTTTTGATTAATAGTAACGTTACCATCAAGCACAACAAACATTAGTCAACTGTTACTACTAATCACTGAAAGCAAAATAAAAGCTATGCTAATTCTAAATTATTCCTTTTTCCTAACATACTTTTTTGGTGTTTCTCAGCTAAGCATGTTGGATATATGTAATCTCACTCCTTGATGCCTCACTTTCCCTGTGGAGAGCTGAACACGTGTAGGTATGCAACCATGGGATTCATCTTACCAAGTTTTAACCCATGTCTTCACGTGAAATATGTCATCCTACAGGAGTGTCTACCTCTCATCATGAGTTGTTGAGGATGTCTGCAAAATTACTTGGATGAGAAGCCTGGCATTAAAATTAGGTGACAAAAATCAGATAATGGACAGAAGAGTATCTAAAATTAAGGCACTGAAATGTGTTTAGAAATCAGGGAATGTCATAACTGAGAAAATCTGGACATCACAATTCTTTAATTAAGAGGAGAGAAAGATACACTTGAAACACTGACAACTAAGGATGAGGAAAAATAAGAATGACTTATAAGAAAAGGCTGCAAATGGCACTTATTTATTTACGTATTACTGAAAACCACTGTAATTCAAGGTCAGTAAATAATGGCAAGTGTCCTGAAGCAGGCTATTATTCCTTTAAATCAAGTCCAAGTGACCATGTCATTGTATGTTTACTTGTTTTCTATGTATTGGCATTCCTGAATTTAAACAAGAAGAAAACACAGAACCACCTTATTAAATCCACTGAGCCAGAAGACATACATGATCTCTTCTGCACACACAAAACATGTCAATCTGAGCTCCATTCCTTAAAGAGGTATCAGTCACAGAAGAGTCCTCTTCATTTGACGAGAAGTAGTTCTGTTATACTTTTTGGTGGTTTCTATTGGCTGTATCTGATTTTAGTGGAGAGAAGCTTATAGTCTGATGGTCTGAGTTAGGCAGGATTCAAGTTTTAGACTATCCATTTGCTTTGTGGAATAATGACAGAACTATAGTTGCCTGCAGATTTCAGAAAGATGGGGAAAAAGTATAGTACAGAGATTAAACTCTTCTCTCTTTAGAGCATCTAGTGATATTAGAGCAAACTGATATGCAGTAATCATGCTTATGAGCTGGTGTGTACCTCTGACATTTGGTCTTGGCAATTTTGGAGATTAAATTGCTCCTTCATTTCCTGTAATTTTTTTGTTTGGTTGGTTGGTTTTGTTTTTGTTTGGTTTGGTTTGGTTTGGTTTTTGTTTGTTTGTTCGGGTTTTGTTTGTTTTGGTTTGTTTGAGTTTTTGTTTGTTTTGGGTTTTTTTGTTTTTCTGGTTTTTTTGTGTGAAGTGATCAGAGTGTCATCCTCTGATGGAGCTGTCATCTTTTTGGATGAACAGAAGAAACTGCAAAGCACTGGCCAAAATAAATGAATTATTATCATGGAAATTAATTTTGCTTTGTCCAACCTGCCAGGGAAAATAACCAGTCCAAGCTGAGCACATCAGGTTTGTGTTTCACTGCTGGATGTATATTTAACTGTTGCAATATTTTAGACAGACTTCATCTGTAATCTGGTGGAGATTATTATCCTGATTTGTGTTCATACATACAGCTTTCCATGTCCAACACTGGCTGAAAACCCCAGAACACTTCCTAAGAGTAACTGAGTGGATCTTATTATTTCCATTATGCTGGCAGTGGTATTTTTGTGGGTTTTGTATTGATGATCGTGTCACTATCATCTAAAGAGAGCCATAGGGGATGGTCTGAGGTTCAGCTGTGATGTGCATGAGGAACAGTTCCTATCTGCAAAACTGTACCCCTATCATATGGCTGGAGGCATGTGCTAAATCACTTCAGCTCCCATAAAGCTTGTCCAATACATACTAATGAGAGAATATGTGTGTGCACTCAGTGATCTTCCATCTGATCTACCGCAGTGTTGGTCTGACCTACGTGAACCATTTTCCAGTGCAAAGACAGTGGATGTCAGGCACCAGCAGAGGTGAAAGTATTTCTCAGGCAGAAAGCTCCTGCTTCCTGCTGTTATCAAAGCCAAGAGGAAGTGCCCTCTGCTTCCCATGAAGTGACCTTTTGTGCCCAGTATTCCTTCTAATGGCATCACGCTTCAGGAACCAGCTCCTCTGTGGGAGACTAGAGGTATAATGGTGAACTGATGAAAGAAATAGAGGTATCAAAGGTGCAGGACATGAGTGTGCAAAGGTAATGCCTCATGCAAAAGTAGTACCTCGAGTCAGCTGGGAAGCAAGAAGGGAGAAAGCCTTGCAGAGGCTGGAGAGGTGAGTGACATGAACTGAGGGAGGCAGAAAGAAGGCTGGGGACATGGTGATACCTCTGATGATCAAAATGAGTACATGAAAGGAAAAGTAAAAACGTGCTGAGAGCTTATAGAAGCAGTTCCGTGACTAAATATAGACTGTTCCTCACTGTGAGAAGTCAGTATTGGCCTTCTTAACCTGATTGTATCATATGGCTTGGGAAAATGAAGTCAAGTTGTTCTACCCAGATGTGGTAATTATATCTTCATTTACTGAACCTCTTTTAGAAGTACCCATCGGAAAACTGTTGTGCCCTGCTTTTTAAATTTCCTCTTCAAAATATCTTCTCTGAACTGAAGCACATAATAAAAAGAAATCACAAAGGCTTAACGGAACCCAGAATGTTCAGCAGCAGATTTGCATGACTGGTGATCTCTCCATATAGACAAAGCATCTCCTGATGGAACCCAGGCATAACAGACCATGATATTCAAAACAAGTTATGCTGCTGCGTGTTCACAATGCTATTGCTTTCAAATCTGAACATCAGAAAAAAAAGTCAAAGTCTTTTGTTCCTAGCTTCTTTCCAAGGGTTTATTATTATTTTTTCTTAAAGCTCTATTGCATAGCTCTTGTGATTTGTATCTTCTGTCTCTTGTCAAGCTATGTGTTTCTTAAAGCCCTGGCTGTTCATATTAACTCCATAAATAAAATTCGAGCTTTTCTTTCTTTTTCCTTTAAGTTACTTTCTGATTAACAGAGAGAAACTAGGAAATAGATCCAGATCTAAAGATATAGAACAGAAGACAAATTAAAATAAAGCAGGAAATATGGATTTAAAAATCCCATCATTTGAAACACAATTTGGTTTAATTTGTTAGAGGCTGTGTAACAATGTGTGCATACACAGTCAGACCATACTGCTAGTCCTTTTTTTTGAGAGATAAAAATATCATAAAAACTTACACCACTTTGGTGGCTTCTCTTGTCATTGTTGTTGTTACCTCCTTCCCACCTACAAATGCCAGTAATTAAGTTGAGCAGTAAAACTAAGGTCAGATGTTGCATTTGTCCAGGAGGAGATAGATGAGCAAATAAACATAGAAGCAGATTTTCCAGTTTACTTTTATTCTTAACCCTGACAACTCTTGACCTTCTTTATCAAGCAACTGCTGTGCTAGAGGACTCAGGTTGAATTGAACACAAGTAGTACTTTTTGTCATCCTGATGTCCTGTTTGTCTCTTTAGGTCTGTGAAAGCCTGCCTTTCTCAGATGGACAGTAAGGCCCAGTGGGTGCTGATGGGACACCACACTCTTGGTTTTCTGTCTGATATAAAGATATAAGCAAGAGCACATAAAGAGCTCAGAAACACTTTCCAATTCATTACCTTAGAGGCTGCCTCTGGGAAGCTGGGCTAAACTGACATTCCTAAATAGATATCTGACCTCTTGACCCAACCCCAGAGCAGCACAACTTGGGACTTGCCTGAGAAAAATGCAGTTCATCACCATTTCTCACCCAGGCAGAGCAGGTGTATCTGTTCATATTGTCAGTTACCATGTTTTCTCAAGCACTGTTTTCACTGAGGAGGGTGGTGGAGGGAAGATCTAGGATCTCCTGGAATGGGGACCTCCTACACACTAGATAGCTAATTTTATTGGTATTCCCTGATCCCACTGGACATAAATCTTTTACTTTATAGATGCTTCTACAATGGCTGACATAAAGAGAGTTTGAAGGACTGGAGGCAGTGGTTTCACACACCCAGTTGTACAACAGAGAATCCCATCTAGTTGTACAACAGAGAATCCCATCTAGAAGAGAGGAAGACTTGAAGAAAAAAAGCAAAAATTTAAGTAATGCTTTACCTCTTGAGGCTGTTTTCCTTGCCGATTTACACAGTGGCAGCAACAGCACCATGACAGCTGACATTTCACCTCCCCGAGGTATCAATATACTTTAACTCTGTATTTTCCAATCTTATTTGAATTTAAACACCATCTCAATATCTTTACAAACCCCATCAATATTGTTTTCATTTATGCAAAAATAATCCACGGAAATTTGCAGTTGCATTTAGCTCTGTGATTTTCCCAGTTTATTTAGAATCATTGAACATTTTAGGGTGGAAAAGACCTCTGAGATCATCAAATCCAACTGCTAACCCAGCACTGCCAAGTACACCATTAAACCATGTTCCTGAGTACCACATCTACATGCCTTTTAAATACCTCCAGGGATGGTGACTCCATCACTTCCCTGGGCATCCTGTTCCACAGCTTGACAAATGTTTCCATGAAGAAATTTTTCCTAACATCCATCTCTATACCTCTCCTTGTGCAACTCGAGGTAATTTCCTCTCACTGTGTCACTTGTTACCTGGGAGAAGAGACTCACCCCCACCTGCCTACAAGCTCCTTTCAGGTAGTTGTAGAGAGTAATGAGGTCTCCCCTGAGCCTCCTTTTCTCCAGGCTAAACAACCCCAGCTCGCTCAGCTGCTCCTCATAAGACTTGTGCTCCAGACCCTTCACCAGCTCCATTGCCCTTCTCTGGACATGCTCCAGCACCTCAATGTCCTTCCTGCATCAAGAGGCCTGGAACTGGACACAGGACTCGAGGTGCAGCCTCACCCATGCCCAGTACAGGGGGACAATCTCTTCCTTGGTCCTGCTGGCCACACTATTGCTGATACAGGCTGGGATGCCATTGGCCTTCTTGACCACCTGGGCACACTGCTGGCTCATGTTCAGCCAGCTTCTACTTTGTTGAAGTTTTTCTCATTGGCACTTTTAGTCTACGAATCAAGACATTATTAAAAAATACTTCTTTCAGTTACCCAGTGGTCACAAGTTCAAGGCTGTTTGGATCCATCCCGACAGAAACAGTCTCCCTGTGCTCTATGCATCTCTGTTAGCAACATCAGGAACTCATTTAGGAACAAATTTAGAGTAGATGCAGCACATCATCATGCATCTTGTTATCTGACATAAACAAAGAGTTCAATACACAAAAATTCTCTTTTTAGGTCTTCTCCCAACTAAGCTGTCCATGACTGGTAATAAGGTATTTTCTTTGTCCTTGCAACTGGCTGGGTGTTTCATGGCTCTTTTGCTGCTGTGACAAGTGGTTTTGAAGCTACAAGAAGGTGTTTAAATTAGTGTTACAAATCAGTTGATAATTCTGTACATTATTAAGTGTTCCATAATGATGAAACCTGTGGTAGTAGTAGATAAGCTTTTATGATTAATTTCAATTTTCAAAAGCAAGTGCCTGATACAGGCAGTCTCACAATTCTAAATTAGGTTCCTAGTTGCTCACATCTACATTTTTGGATTAATTTTTAATTTTGGGTTCATACTTTTTAATTTTTGACTGTAAATTACTAAGACCAAGCTTTAAAAAAATCAAGCCTTAAAAGGTTGAAGCCCAAACACTCATAAACTGCTGTTCCCTCTACCAAACACGGTCTTTCACTGTCAAGTATGTACACAGATATGAGAGAATTCCCTTCTGAAAAAGTTGCACCTAGGAGGGTACTATTGTACAAATTTTCCTGTCTCAGTCTTTACAGATAAAAACTAAAATCCTGGAATAATTGCAACTAAATTCTACAGAAAATATTTCAGGAAAACATGTTATAATAAATTATGCAAAAGAAATAACATTGTTTAGAGAAAATATATTAATATAAGACAGTTTGTAAAACTGTATTGTTTTACACTCATCCATATATTCTCTTGTGCTGAAATCTATTATCGCTACCCACTCAGCTTATGGGACATAATCACTAGAATGGTCTTACAACAAAAGACTAGAATTTAGCTAGAGATATTAAGAATAAAGACAAAAATAATTTCATCTAGTTTATTTTGTAGGTAAAAACATCACTAACTTTTTAATCAAATACAGCAGATATAATTTAGTGTTATTATTTCCTCCAGTTATACTGTAAGCTACATTGTATAGCAGCTATGATGTTAAAAGAAGCTTAGCACATACATGGAAAGGTGTGAGTATAAATATAAATAATATAATTATGTACTTTCTTAACCAAAGTGTACTAAAGAAAAGCTGCAGAAACAAAGGATGGCATCAAATATTTCCGGATATTCCCATCATCTATGTACAAAAGACCTTATAGTCCACATGTAAACTCTTTCTTTCCACTACAGTTTTTCCATGTTCATCCTCCAGCTTCTGGCTTGTGTTACACCAAGCTCGTGTTACTCCTCACCGAGTCCGGGAGCCTGTCTCTGACAGCATCCACTAACAAATACTGAGGCAAAGTATATGCTCAGGGCAGCTGTACAGTATCAGAGAATCCTGATCCAAAGGTGATGCAGTTATACCTAATGCCCTTTGAGAGGTACATTTCTTCTGTTAATTCATTCAGTTGCCTTTTTAAACAAATAATTAGTATCTATAACACCCTTCAGTAAGTAGTCCTACAGCTTAACTACCCAATATGGATAGTCAGCTTGCTTTGCTATCTTCCTATCTTCCTTTGATGCCTACCTAATAATTACTAACATCTGGTTTGCTTTTTAGATCTTGTTTAGTACTGGGCTGACTCTGTGTATGTGGCTGTGTTAGGTTAGGGTTTAATTTCCCTTATGTACATTCTTTTCAGTCATCTGCACTGAACTCTGAATTGCTTTTGTTATTGCTTTTGTTTGTTAGCCCAAAGAGCTCTTGTTATTAAATGTTTACTCTCACTGGTAAGTACACACATCTGATCAATTTGCTTCCTGTCTCCTTATTTAGTTAAATGATGGAGCCCTGTGAGCTTTTCTCTTTACATGTTATCCACCCATCTATTAGTCATTGTCAGGTCTCTCCTTTGACCTCTGTTCAGCTTACAACATCTTTCTTCAATTATAGTCACCAGAACTAGACACAATATTCTCCTGGTGATCACAGCAGTGCCAAAACATGTTGAGTGCTTTTACTCAATATGTGCCTCTTCCATGTCCAAGGATGCCATTAGCTCCTTTGGCCACAGCTTCACAGTGGAAATTTGTGTTCAGCTATCATGATCCTAAAGGCTCTTTTAGAGATGCTGTTTTGTGAGTCTCCCATCCTAAAACTATAGCATACACTTTTCCCCACTTAATTGAATTATGTGCTCCTGACATAAATACACTGATTTAACATACCTGTGTCATTCAGTGACACAACATAGGGTGAGGGAGAAGGGAAAGGAAGATTGGAATGACACCTCAGATCAACCAGGCCGATAAATGTTACATACCTGTCATGAGGTTGCCCTTGGGGAAGTCAGTTCTTGCAGGGTCATGAATTAATGCTTTATTTAGCAACGCTGTTACTCACTCTAGCAGCCTGCTGCTTGCTGTGGCAAGGTTTGTCCATGGCACTACAGGAGGGGATCTTTGGCCACTTCTCACATCTGCATGTCCCACTGCCCGTAGAATTGGGATTGATGGAGGCTCTAGGAGGAATCTGAGCAGGACAACTGAAAGAGATGAAAGGGAGCAAATTTAAAGTTGCGCTTTTCTCATGGCATTTAATTCTTGAACAAGTATAGTACTTTGTGCAGCTGCATATTCTGATATAAAGCACAGCCTTGGATTTCCTGACTGTGGCACATTTGAATGGTAATCGGGCAGTCATGGGGCACAGTCTGCTCTTGGTGTTGTGGCCTAAAAAGAGAAGTAGAACGAGACAGTGAGAATTAAAATAAGAATTTTAAATGCTTAATTATGCTTTAAAATAAGTGATAATCATACATATGTATTCCAGATAATATTAAACCAAATATCTCGTAGATTTTTGAATGTAAAAGAAACAAGACTTGATCAAAATTCCATCACAGTCAATTGAAAATATTCCAGAAAAATCACAGCTTCAGTAATAGGGACTGGTTTGGTATTTGCTGTAAATATCACAGAATCACAGAATCATTTAGGTTGGAAAAGACCTTTAAGACCATTGTGACCAAACTTAAAGTATCAGTATCAGTAGCACTCAGCAACATTAGGTTAGGACAAGAACACAAAGTGTAACCTTAGGATGACTGACATATTTCTCAAGAAATGTAAATGAAACAAATTTCATGGTTAACCTGAAAAGTCTTGCAGGAGGTGGTGTTGATTCCTCAAGATTCAGTGTCTCAACACATCAGATTTTCTCAATCTCAGTTGATCCCCTCTTGCTTCCTTTTCTCTAAGAGAGAAAAACACAGCAGACTGTAAACTAATGCTAACACAATATAAAGTATTCTAGTTTGATGATTTTGTACAGTTTTATATTTCAAACTGTATATTCAGACTTGTTAAATTTTGAAAGAAAGGTAGTAAAAACCTCCTTGGTGCACTACTTGCATCTAGTATATGGAACAAATTCCTTTCTAAATCAGCTACAAAAATAATAGGACACAGCCCTACATCTGAGAAAGCATCTGCTGCAGCTGCAGGAGTACAGGGCAGAAGGGGGGACTAAGAGGAAAAGAGGGAGGAGTTAAGAGGAGAACACCTTAAGTGCAAACCAAAAGCCTGGCTGTGACATTCATAATTTTTTATGGTAATGGAGCTTATTCTCACTGAGCTTCCCTGCAGTTTTGGAATGGGATGTAACTGACAGGATGAGTCCTAAAGTATGAAAAGGAGGGAAAAAAATTAAAGTTGCCTGAAACATATATTTGCATTCCCAACAGGAGATCTTTTGAAAAGCCACCCTTTTGTGATATACAGTCACTCCTTAGGAAACGAGGATACTTTAACCATCTGCTTTGTGCAGCTGAGGGTTGAGATTCTGAACTAATTATGCCTCATACAAGTAACTTCTGATGCCAGTTATTTACATCAGTTCAGAACTAAGCCTCAACGAGGAAAACATTCCTATTCAAGACAGTGTGTAAACATATGTCAATGTTAATTACTTGCCTAAATTCTCTTTGGAAGGATGCAAACAGATGCTCAATAGCAAGCACAACTGTGAGGGTTGTTCTGAATATAAACACTCGTAAGCCTGTGGGTAAGTGTTTTCTTGAACTGAAACTAGAATTTTATATCCTATAATTCTACTCAAAACAAAGTATGCATATTGTTCTAATACATAATATCCAATCAGGTTTCACAGAAGAAAACTGGAGTGGCACTGGACAACCTTAAACAGTTTACTTAAAAAATTATTTCTTACCCTTTTGTCATGTTCATAAGAAATGTTTGTCTTTGACAGAATAAACAACCCTTTCTTGTAATTTAATGACCACATCACAGAATCGCAGAATATTCTGTGTTGGAAGGCACTCACAAGAATCATCCAGTCCAGCTCTTAAGTAAATGGCCCATACAGGGTTGGATCCCACAACCTTGGCATTATTAACATCATGTTCTAACAAACTCATCTCAGGGTCTTGATCTGGGTTATTTTTTATTTCTGTTGTGACTTCTTTAAAAGCAGTTCTTCTAGAATTTTTTTTCTCCATTATACTTCCCTAAAATAACATCACAATTACTTTTATTACTGCTATTAATTAACATAACAACACCAACTATAGAGACTGTAAGATTGTCCTCTATAAGTTTTAAAAAATTTTACAGTAATGCATGTATATAAAGGATGTGTTTAATACTGTTTAAACAAATGAGGTTGTTTAGCTTATTCACTTGGTAGAAACAATCATAGTATACAAAAATTAATCTACAGATATACTGTAGTTCTAAACAAGGCATCTCTGTTACTTTATCGCCTGAGGATCTCTCCTTTTAAAGCCATGCACTCTTTCTGGCAAAGAGCACAGCCTGCTTTATCCACAAATGTATTACATCTGCAGCATGACACAAAAGTCATTACAGCAGCTAAGAAAATGACAACAAAAAAAGAAAACCCTTCTATTTACAGACCAGGAAAACATATCTAGTGCTGACTATCTGTTCCCTGCACTGAAATTTCTCATTTCTTTCTTTCAAATGAAACAAATGCACATTTACGAAACTATGATATGTAGAAAAGATTAAAAATTAAAAATGTTCTTGCAGGATGTATATATACACACATATATTTACATCTAAGTATTTTTTCTTAACCTTGGTAATCATAGAGTAGAAAATGCCAAGAAGGATGAAATCCATCAGCGCTCTACAAGTCTAATGTGGCTTCAGGTTATCTTACTCAAGTGTGAAGGAAGTAGGTCATGTCCTTTGCTCTGTATTTCTGGGGGTCCAAAGGGAAGCACTGTGCTAAGTACCCCCCTTGTTATGTTCCTGTTCACTACTGAGAGTCCAGCAGAAAGAGAAAATTTGCATGAGGCTCATCACACTCACTTGATCTATCCACTGAATCCTACCTGAACCCAGAAAGTAGCAAGTATTTTGTAGAAACACTGTGAAGAAGAAAAAGGGGAGTGGGGGGGGGGAGGGGCTTTGCTCATACTCTGCGTGGGTATCTGGCTACGCTGTCTTTGCAAATAAAATATTAGGTTTGATAGAAAATATAAAAATATAAAAACCTTGTCATTCCCACAGCGAAGCAGTAAGACCTCCTCTGTTTTTAAAGAGCATATGTGGTTTTGTTTCCTTACACTACGAAACATCCAATCTTTAGCTCCAACCCACTTAAGTTCATGGGACTCATTGGAGTACTGGAGGCCAGGAAAAAGGATAAGTGAGATGGAATTTCAGCTGCTTTATTTTAAAGCATTGTTTGCAGGTCTTTTTTCTGGGGTTGCCACTGTGTGATCTTCACAAAATTTCTTAGCCTACTGCTGCTTGAATTAATCGGAGCAATTGCCTGAACTACCAGGACCGATAACATTACTCATGTAAGATTAGATGTCTAATCCACATCAGCTCTAACACTGTGACCATTGAGAGCTCAGAGAGGACCAGCTGAAGCCACATGGAATGACTACAATCTACTCTTAGTGGGGCTTAGAAAAAAGGCCAAGTACTTCCGTTTCTACTCGTGGAAACACTAACAAAATCATTTCTGGATTTGACAAAGTTGTGCTGAGAAATGAATAGAGACAAAAGGATTTATCACAGTATGTAATTTCATTTAAATATTAGAATGTTATGTTCTTTAAACTGTACATTGCAACACTTATTTATTAATAAACAATATTAAAAATGTAGGGATATAAAATATATCAAATATAAGTTATGAAATAATTAGTAAGTGCCTACAAGTTTTATTAAATATATTTATAAAATAAAATTATAACTAGAGTTAAATATAAAAGTTAAATTTTTTTTTCTTGATATGGGAAAAGACACATACTCTTTGTTCTAATGTGTCTGAAAACAATATTCTGTTAAATTTAGGTACTCAGTGTCTTTGGATACGTCCTTGCATAGTAAATGACATACTTGATCACCTTGTGATATAATAATATGCCTTCTGCCTCTGTCTGTGGACCTGTGGCAAGCATGTGACCTAATTTTAGGATGCAATAGAAGGTTAAAAGCACAGGCTAAAAGAAACACCTAAAAGACTCAAAAAACCCTATAAAAGTATTACATCCCTTGGTTCTCTGAAACAGAATACTGAGTATTCAGTCTTTGAGGGAGCAGTTGCTTATATTGCAGCATATATAAGCCACTTCATTACTGGAGTGCTCTGGCTCAAGTTTAAAAAAATGTTATCCAGATTTTGACTTCTCATTACAATTCAAGAGAGAAAAAAAAATCCAATCTCTAAAAAAAATATTGACAGTGAAACTAAACTACTTCCTGGCCAAATCCACTGCACAATGCTCTTCTTCTTTCGCCTGTGGAAAAGAAATCACAACAGCTGAAATTATACCAAATGAAATGTTCAACTCTTTTTATTTCTGGCGTTTTTTTTCCATTTTTAAATGAGGTTACATCTCCAGGAATAAAATATGTCTGTGTTACACTGCCTTTTCCCTGTGCAGGCTGCCCTTCCTCTGTGTGCAAACTCACTTTGCTGAGTCAGTTCATGCTTGTACTGACCACCCGGCTGTGCTGAGGGGATGGATGATCCTTCAGGGCAGAAAGTGCAGAGAGTGGCTTGTGCCGTGTACAAATTTCTGCCTACCTAGAGAATTGCAACCTCCCTTTTTACTGGATGTAGCTCAGTTCCTTCAACTGTGAAATCTAATTTCTCCCTGGAAGAAAATAAAATGCCATGTGGAATTAGCTGTAAACATTTGTTCCATATGATTTGAAGAGACATGAAAGATCTAAGGATCTTTGATTATTTTTCCACGCTTGAAACTGTGCTTGTACCGAGGGTTGTTGCATTTTCTTTGCTTTCTGTAACACAGAGACAAATAAAAAAGGTTTGTTACTCCAACAGATCTTAGAAACAGGACTTGGAAACTTCCCCATGTTTCAGAAAGAGGGCTGTTGTGAGACAGTTCTATTGAGTTCATTGAATCATAGAATATCCTGAGTTGGAACTGATACACAACAATCATCAACTCCTGGGAACAAGCAAAAGGGGCTAGGACATTCTGGAGGCTAGAGGTACTATCTCTAGCATTCTCTAGCTGCTGCTTCTGTTTCCTTCTGTAGTTTGGATGTGGTGGTCACAATAAGCATTTTCTAATGGCAGGCTGTAATGCAGGGTACTCTGGCTCCTTCCCTCCTGGTATCCTTTTTCTTCAGGAGACTGAGCAGATGGAAAACTAAGATGGAAAAGGAGAGCAGTTATGACAGGAGAAGCTTGGAGAAGAACCTGGCTAATTTATGGTGGCTGAGAAAATAGCCATGTCAAAATCATGATTCTTCACTCAGCTCAAAATGCTGGCAAGGTGGAGTTCCTGACTCTGAAAGACACAGAAACATGTCCTCCACCCAGATGAAGTAAACAAACTCGTTGGGAAGTGCTTGTCATTGTGGCTTGGCTCTATATCCTCAACAACATGAGGCAGCAAGGGTAGTCTGGGGAGGGTGTGTGTGTGGGTGTAGAGGGACAAAGGCAGGACGGTGGGGTATGGTGGGCTAGGGCAGAGCAGGGATAGTGACAGCCCTGGTGGAGAAGTCTGGACAGCAGGGAGCAGTATAGGGTGGGGGAGATGGGAGAGAAGACGAGCTAGTTACAGGAGCAGCTGTCTACAGCAGGCAGGGGCTGTGGGTGGGGGTAAAGGCAGGGCCTTGGGCATCTGGTGGGAAAGTAACACAGTCCTGGGTTAGGCAATGGGCTGGGCAGAAGTGGGGGTCGAAGCAGGCAGGAGAGGCGCCAAGCAAAGGGCACTTGTCAGTCAGGACAAGCTGCTGCAGAACTAGAATACTCTCATTCTGCTAAGTGGGCATCATGGAGGAAAAAGACTCCACAATCTCCCTCCACCCCTGCCCCTCAGGCAGGCCTACTGGTGTGAGGACCCCTCAGCAAGCTGTGTTGGCATTCCCTGTACTAAATATGGCCAAAGACCACTTCATTTCATAGAAATACCCTCTATTTTTACTATACCTTTTATCATTAATGCCTTTTACAGGCATTCTTCCATGCAAGTTCAGAGAGATGTTTTTCCTTCATTTCAGGTGAACTATTTCAGCTCAGTGAGCTGTTCATTCAGAGCTCTGAAGAAACACAGAATTTGGAATAATACAAATTTTCTTTCCAGTTTCAAATAAAGTAGATGTAGAGGGCAAGAGCTACTAATTGTATAACTTTCAAGTCATGGATATACATGCAAAACCAATCATCTCTACTTACTTACAAATTCTATTAGCCTTCCCGGTGAGCCATAAAATTTAAGTTTGAATGTTTTGATAAACTGACCTTTTTATAATCCACCACACTCGAAATACAATTTAGTTAATTAAACAAGTTGCAAAGCACTATCTTGGTGTTTATAATTTATGATTAAGGTGATTCTAACTCAGTGCATAAAAAGCTATCTGAAATGAGACAAGTAATCTATTTTAATATGACAAAATGTAAACATAAAAAGTTCAAATGCATTTCCATCAAACCATAGTATTTAAATATCGATATTTGTAATGCATCCTTTTGCTATTCATTTTAAGAAGCCATATTTAGGCTAAGGGATGGAACAGTTTCCTGACCCTGCTGTAATGGAAACCAGTGAAGGAAACAACTGCAGTACACATGGAAAATGTAATAATTCTAATCTTTTCTGTCTTCTAATTTTAGAACCTAATTTTAAATGGTGCTTTAAATTATCCTGCATTTCAGCCCTTGCTTTTCAGTCAAAAGGGCATTGTGTATCTTTCCTCACATTACAAGACGTGCAAAATTATGCTTGCTATTTTGTACGTTAAATGGCAGTCTAATTTCACTCCATACAGCAAATTTATGTTCCCCCACTTCCCCTGAAGCTCTCTCGTTCCATCAATCTTTTTTCTGTGCCATTAAAAAACTGCTGAGGGACAGAACTTTATGTATACAGGATAAAAAACCAAAACTACTTTTTTGGGGCACGTCACAATAATTAATTGTTTATAAAGGGGATATTAGTGGAATCTAGCCTCAAATCCCTTAAAATATGATCACCGAAGTGTGTTTAAACATGGATTTCATTTACTATGGTTTAGGATTAGCCATTTGTTTTCGATGTACCAGCTGACTTCTATGTGAAGTGGGATATTATCCCATAGGGTGACAAATTGCAATCCTACTTGTTCATGTCGTGATGCAGTTGCCCACAGATGGACCTATACTTTGAGCAAGAGGTTGAATTCAATGACTCCTAAAAGTGTCTTTCAAAACTAGACTATTCTGTTCCTGGTTTTGATTGTTGCCAACATTATGCAAACAGTATATCTTGCAGGAATAGGTGAAAATCTGTTTTCTTATTTGAAGATCTCATCAGCCCTGCACATGGTGGCATAAAGCTGCAGCTGAGGTCCAGACCTCTCCTACAGACGTTTTAGGAAGCAAGTCCATGTTACTGTCATTTGAGCACTACTTTACTGTTTCTGTGACCTGAGCTCCCTCTGAAAGAAGTATGGACTTAATATATCTAACTTGCATAATCTGTTATCCCGATAATGTGTCTTTAGATCACTGAGGTTTCATAGTATTTTTTAAGCAGTCACTTACCTAGACAAATGAAGTTAGCAATGTAAATTATATACATTTGTAATATATATATCAGGTAAGAAATAATTTCTTCATATTATTGCCAAGCAATCAAAGTATCTGTCAGGTATCAAATGACAGTAAGATTAAAAACAAAGATAGATTTAAGGCTTATTTTTTTTATCACCTTCGGATCTCTTTAAATATTTTTACACAAACTTGAAAGCTAGTTTTAACATAATGAGAACTGATTATTTTCACATACTTACCTGCTGACTGGCAGTGACACAGCTCTGTGGCCAAGGCCCTGGAGTTCCCAATGGGCAGCAATGAATGTGACTTGAGGGGAGGGGAGGGAAGGAGAGGGGAGGGATGGAGAGGGAACGGGAGGTTTGGGGGAAACTAGTTCTGTTCTTCATATATGAAATTAATCAGATATTAAATATTAAAAGTTATTTCTAGGGAAGGTGGAGGCAGTCTTCAAAAAGATGCAGAACGACAGGGCAAGAGGCAACAGAGAAGTTGCCTCAGAAATTCTGTCAGTATATGAGGAAAAAATACTTTACTGCCTGAAGAATTTTTAGTGAAGTTCTCCAGTATCATGCTGGAATCTGCTTTGCTGGAAACAGCCAGGATACCTGCAGAGCTATTCTTTCCCACAGGAGTTGGGACTCGGGAGGTGCCTCCCAGCCAGACTGTGTTTCTCAGGAGAGCCAGAAGGTGGCACGGCTCAACAGCAGGAACAGTCCGCAGGCTGCACGAAGGGCTGTTATGTACTGGAATAAATGCTGAAAAAACATGTTGATTTAGGAAAAAGGGGCTCAGTAAGAACCAATTCTAGTTCAGAGAGGGTTACTCAGCATAATTTATGAAAAGAGTTTATTTTTTGGGTAATTTTGTATTAAGAGTGTGTTCTGTGCCCGTGTGCCCAAGCCAGGTAACACCACCCTGTTCTGGTAGCCCTTCCTGGCACAGAGTTACCCTGCAGCTTAGTGGTGTTTTCCCCGGCTTTCCTCTTCTGACAGGAAGGCTGTTTGACCAGTTAAGGAGCACCTTAACAGCACCTGTAAGTCCTTTATAGGTAGGCAGTTTCAGGATATCGTGTAATGCATATGTTGAACGAATGAAAAACGTGACCTTCCAACACAGCAGGGACACTAAAGGCTGTTCCTCAGACAGTTGCATCACTGGTGACCAACAGAACCAGAGGAGTACTGTACTCTGACAGAAGCCATGAATATATCAAAACCAATGTAACAAAATAGACTATTTCTGTTGATGTAAAAGAATTCCGGTTGAGTAATATTTGCCTTAGTAAACAGAAGTGGATGAAAAAAAGTGAGGGATCACAATGTACCATGTTCAGGTACATCCTGAATGTTGGAGCTGGAAGGTTTTCCCAAGATCTTGTCAGCTTGTGTGTATGCATTACCTTAATCTCAGGAGGAGCTCAAGGAAATGAGCAGACATGTAATGTAAATGGTTTTTATAAGCTGACGACTACTTGCACCTGAAGGCTTTGGGATTACTGTCAGTTTAAAAATCTTAACTGAGTGCTTGGAGTAAAAGCTGATTAATCTTTTTAGTGCTGGATTTATAGTATTGAAATGCCATTGCTCCAAATTACAGGACAAAGAGGCAGGTCCAAACGGAACAGTCTGAAGATTCTTAATATGATGAAGTAGAATATATTTGTATGAATGTTTAAGGGGAACAATCTGAACTGTCAGAAGTGGTTATTTGATGGATTAATGATGGCAATGGGGTAATTTTGATGAAACTTGTTTAAAAAAAATTCAGAAAAAAATTTCAAAGGACTTTTGCCCTAGAAGCCCACAGGGGTCAGAATACTAATTTTGAAGAGTGGGAGGAAAAAGAGCACCTTTCCTTAAGTTACTTCTTAGCCACGTTTGGGAGAGATTTTGAAACATGGTCCTGTGGAGCTTGTTTTGCCGTAGGCTGCAGAGAATTCAGGGTGGTTTCTTCTGGTCTTTGAAACTGCTTCTCTGAAATATGTATCAGATTAAGAGATGAAACCAAAACCTCTCCAAAGAATTTGTTTATTACCACTACACTGCCAGTCTTTCTCACTGGTCAGTAGTTGTCTGGGTACTGGAACTGGTGGAAAAGGATGAATGTAATGGGTCTCCCCGTTTGCTAGGAGTAGGCAACAAAGCTTTCGTTCAAACTTTTACTCACAGTGAGGCAGAGAAAGTGAGTGAGATGCACTCCTCTGCAAAGGTGCCAAGACTGTGCTATGGGAGGACATCAGAGAGATTTTAGGGCTATTTCTATGTCCACATGAGTTTAGCCTTGTATACAATGCCCACAATGACTAGCTGACAAGGACTGTGTCCGGGTTTTTTAATGTTACTTTTGCCAAAATCACTATTTTTAAAGTTTTGCATTAACAGAAATGGATTTTTGTTTTTGTTTAGCCACAAAACTGGGGATCTTGCATCTTGGAAACACCATAAAATTCATGTGGTGCTTCTCAGCAAAGGTAATTAGCCTATGAATAGTGAGGTTCTGATATAACTACATTGCTGCTTGTGTGACAGTTTGAGGATCTCTGTGCCATACTCCACTGCACAGTGTAAGGGTGCCCTCAGTCATCCTAATGTCTTCCTTATGTCTTTCTCATGCTTTCACTTTGATAAAAAAAATTACTGCTCCTGTTCCTCTTAATGTTTAGTGCTTACTGAGTTCAGCAGACAAGGTGGGGCTTCAAAATTCAGTCAGTTAAGTAAATTGATGGAAATTTACAGCAGCAAACGTTGTCTGGTGGCCAGAAATGAAGGTGAAATGGAGAAGAACAGAACATTTCAGTCTAGCTTCATCATGGGAGTAGAGTTGGGTCACTTAACAGCCATGTGCTGAAGTAGGAAGCTCTTTGCCCTGGAGGTGTTGGAATTTCAAAAGGTTTGTTTGTCATCAGCTTGATAATGTCAGAGCTCTGACACCAAGATCCAGCCATAGCAAAGGGTCATGCAGAGTAACATATGGTTATTTTCAGTCTAAATTGCCTTAAATGTAAAACCAATGCCATTAAATAAGGCTCGGAGTGAGGACAGAAAAGGGAGAGGAGGGGAAATACTATATATCCTCAGACGTGATTCAGAGCACAGGAAACACATTGTGCATACATACACTCTTTCTGTGGTATATGTGTCCATCCTTCCACCTTCCCATAAGGATGGCAATACATGTGCACAGCAGCAGCCCTTTCTAGAGGAAGAAAAAAGTGTTAATCTGTCCTTTAACTTATCCGTGTTTTCTTGATCTTTAAACTGTGTGAAATGACAAAGTAATTGAAAGGCCTTGGATGTGCTCTCTGTTTACTGAAACGAATCTTTGGATCTGCACTTCGTACAGACAGGATACTGGTGTAATCTGTATAAATGAAGGAATGCTGATGTCTGAGTAAAAATGCTTAAAGAGCTCAGAGTTAGGCTCAGGGTTCCTCAGTGCTAAGCAGTGTATAACCACAGAGGTAGGCCAACAGAGCTCTTACTCCTAAAACCACACAAGGAACTCCATTATTGCTCCATTATTGCTCTGCAAAGTGCACTGTCTTATTCCTGGAGTGCTGGTTTTGCTCCATTCCTTTATGAAACACAAGTTGAAAAGTTTAAAAGCTTAGATTTCAATTTATGGTATTCATGTTTTTCCAGACTTTCTGTGCATGTTAACAATCAAATTTTGTCATTCTTGTTGACTCTCCCTGGACTACATCAATGTCCTTTCTCTGAAAGGCTGCCAAATATTTCACAGAGGATTAAAAATGTTTTAAAAGAATAAGATTTAATTGTCCCTTCTTGTTTATTTGTAGTCATTTGTTCTTGTTGATGGTTTCATGAGTCTTCCTCACAGCCAGACCATCCCTATGTATTTGTGTAATATAAGGGGTTCAGCTTTCACGATGTGTGCAGCAAATTTGGGAAGCAATTCTGCAGTTAGATTCAAATTCTAAATTAGGTTCATTAGGTATAAACCCATATAAAGATAAGGCACGAAAATGTGCTGAATCTCATACAAACGAAAACTACATAGTGCTGCACATTGTTGTTGATGAGGTTTGAAAGAAAGTGCAACATCCCACTAGCTGGCTTATTTGAATTTGAATTGTGCTTGAGAGTTGAAAGTAAGTTGCATAATGGCTTTGTTGAACCAAAATATTTGCATTTATAAGTCCATCCTCTGAAAGAATTCCTGCCATATTCTTCATTGCACGTGTTCCAACCATGATGCTGAAATACATGGAATTAGTACTTAGAACAAAAATGACTTTTATGACCTATTCTGAGTCAAATCTGAGCCTTATGACTCAGAGCAGTGAAACTGTGAAAGATATATTGAGCAAGGGGCCAGTCACTAATGTATCAGGCCATGCATTCTTTGTATCCAAGACAACCTTAGTTATTCAGATATGTCTGCTTTATTTGAAGGGCTGCAGGAAGGTTAAATGTTAAAGCTCAAGATTCTGAGATAATAACAAGAAAAAAAATCTAGGAAGGGTTTCTTGGGTTTATTTTTAACTACCAGAAAGTATAGTGGAATTGTGTGATCTCTTCCCACCATAAGAATAACTTATTGATGATTGTT